TGCCCCTCGCCCCCCGCCTCCCCACCCCCCTGCTTCTCATAAGCTCCTTCAGTTTCTCTCTGAATGCAGAAGCCTCTGGAGTGGGCAGGACAGAGATGAAGAGGGGTGAGGAGAAAAGGAGACAATCAGCAGAAGACAGGAGAAGCAGTGGCCTCTGGGACGCTGGCATGCCATTGCTTGGCGCGGGCTGGAGGGACCTGTCTGCCTGGAGGGTGGGGACAAGCACGGGAGGAGAGGAGGCAGGAGGTGTGGGACTGAATGCCCTAGGCTCTGGGGCTTGGGCCCCTGGGGTTCTCCCTCAGCCCCCCCTGCCAGCTCCCAGCCAGGGCCTGTCCCCTTCCCCAGCTGCTCTCTCCTCCCCTGTGCCTGCTGCTGCCCAGGCAGCTCAGGGACTTCTGACCTTTGTTCTGCTCGGCGGCGGCTGGGGCTCTGAAGGGAAGGGGGCGGCGTATCACAGGAGCTCCTTCCCTTGGTTCCTCGAGGCCGCAGGCTCAGCCTGAGGCTATGTCTGTGTGGGAGGATGGCCTTGTGCACTGGTGGCCTGAAGCCTCCCCGCATCAGGCATGCTCGCACCTTCTTCTGTTCTTCACACCATAACCGAGCACCACCTTATGCTCTGCAGGATGAGGCCAGGATACACAGACATATTTTAGCCATCCCTGTCCTGAAGGAGTCCCCAGCCCAGGGAACTGTCCCCTTTGAAGCACCTACTGTGTGCCACTTGACATACATCACCTCATTTAATATCACCCCTCCAAGGTAGGGGGTTATTCTTCCCATTTTACAGATGAGGAAACTGAGGCTCAGAGGGCTTAACTGGCCCAAGGGGCAGAGACTGGTCCATCTGCTTCCAGAGCCCAGGCTCTTTCCATGTCCAAATTTCAGAATATGATTGAGGGCCAAGTTGGTGGGTACCAAGAGTCTGTGCAGAAGTGCTCAGGGAAAGGAAGTCTTCAAGGGCTGAGGGATGGGAGTGCTTGCTGAAGGAGGGGGTTTGGCCTCAGGTGGAGCCCGGAGAGACAGGAGCAAGGAATTGCAGGGGACCAGGCTGACCTGGGGCTACTATACTAGGTCCCAGCTGGCAGGGCCAGCTCTCAAAGGAACCTGCAGACGGCTGCCTCCTGTCAGGACACCTGGGTTCAATCCCACCTCCATCTTCCCCTTCTAGATGACCTTGGCCATGTTGCTCAATCTCTGACTCCTCTCTACTTACCCATATTTGAGCCTTTGTGCAAATTAGCAAAAGGCTCCCCTTCTCCAGGACCATGTCCAGCATCTGCTGGAAACGGGCCATGAGAAATCTATATACCAATGGTAAGTATGATGCGAGAGCCACTTCTTAGTGGTGGGGTCCACAGCTCCCTCAGCTCTGTGTGCTGGCCCTTCTCATTTGCTCTTGGATGGGGATAAAAACTCACAAGTAGAGAGCCCCAGGCCCTGTGCAGGCCGGAGGAAGTCAGGGAGGGCCGGTGGGTCCACATCCCTCCCAGCTGGCCATGACCTCAGAGCCCAGACCTCCTGGGAGGTGGCCCAGGCCTCTCTCCTGTGGGGGCCCCGACAAAGGACCTTTAGTGCCCTTCAGAGCTTCTCTGTTGGTGGAGCTGCTGCCCGCCCCTTCCTCCACCAGTGCCTGGCCTTCCCCTCCCATTTCTTCCAGCCCTTCCCCCCCATCCAGGTTTTTCCTCCGATTGTTCTTACAGCGACCTGCCGCCTCCCCACTGGGGTTGGGCCTCTTCATCCCCATCTACAGGCTCCCTGTGGCCATAGGCCCCCCAGCTTCAGGCTCCCAAGAGTCTCATCTCTAGTTGGCCCCCACCCCCAGCTCCTGCCTGGTTCTGATCCTTAGGCCTGGCCTCCATCTCTGCCAGACTCTGGGTGCCTCACCCACTTGCCAGCTCAAATTTTCTCATCTGGGCCGGTGTCCAGCTTCATTAGGGTAGCTCTACATTCTTGCCATCCCTCCTGCCCTGCTGTCAGGATCTGGCCAGGTGGGGACAGTGGCCTTAATGCGCAGGGCCCCCCAACACCCATGGTCTTCCTGGCCACCTGCCAGAGTTGCCCCTGGGGCCCGCGTCACACCTCGCCTGGCCAGCACCTGTAGGAGGTTCTCTAACGTGCCACTGTCCCGAATTCCAGACTGCTTGCCTGGGACTGGACCCATCATGGGCTGGGGCTCACCCTTCACCCAGAGCCCTCGCAGAACCTTGTTGCTGGCCAGACGTGCAGCAGCCTTGCCCCTGCTGAAGTGGAGCAAGCTCTGGGGACAGACAGCCGCTCACTGCTGCCAGCTGGGGGTCCCCTCTGTAGGGGGTGGGATGGTAAGCCCCCGGTGAAATCTCTCCTGGGTGACATCCTCATGCGGGAGCTGGAGAAAGGGTCTTTTCTCACCTACCATTTCACTATCAAAACTTGCTTAGGTTCCCTCCGTACCCTGGGACTATGAAGACCCCCCCAGATCTGGAAGGCGCTTACAGTACAGCAGAGGAGACCGGCACATAGGGACAATTACAGAACCGTGGGGTCTGTGCCAGGACAGACATGGGGGCCAGGGCTGTGGAACTTCCGTGGAGAGGAGATTCACCCTGCCGGGACAGGGAAGGCCTTGGGAGGAGGAATTGCCTTCTAAATGGAGGGAATGGTTTGTGCAGAAGCATGGGGCTTGAAAGAGCCTGTTTGAGGAACTGCGGGTGATTTGGTTCCTGGGCTGGAAAGTGCCTGTTAGGGGGCAGAGGTGAGGGCTAAAGCCAGCGAGATTCCTGAGCTGGGGCATGACATGACCAGAGGTGGATCAGTCTTGGAAGACTGATATTTAAGCTGGCCTGGGACCAGCCAGCTGCACTCTGCAGGAATGGGGGCGAATGAATTCTTAGTTACGAGCAAATAAGGACTGGAGGCAGCAAGAGGGACTCTGAGAAAGTCAAGGCCTGGGGGATGCTAGGTCAGCTGGGCTGGGGGTGCTGGCTCAGACGTGGCATCCCACAGCCCTCAGCCCCATGGCTGAACTGTGGCTCCTCTCTGTTCCCCCGAATGGTCCCAGCCACGCAGGTTCTTTGGTGGCTGTCAGGGTTCCCATGCTCCAGGAAGGCCCATGGCTTGCCCTGCCTCTATCTGGGGTTTCTCCACTCCCGAGCAAGGCTGAGCCTCGTGGGCCTGGAGCTGGGGCCTGTGCCATCCTCTGTCTGGGTGGGACAGACGCAAGTGGTCTACTGTCTGAGAAGCCACCCACCACCACCTGCTGGAAAGCTGGTTTCAGGGAGTTGTCACCTCCACATCTGTTTATGTGCAAAGTGGGGCAAAGCAAGGCAGCCTGGGTCTGTATATGACGGTGAGCGGAGGAGGCTGCTTTAACTGTCACCCAAGCTCGGACCCCCTTGCCCAGGCCTAGGCATGGAGTGGGTGCTCAGTGTGGATCATCATGGCTCATCTGGGTCTAAGGGCCTTTCCCACATGCTGGGAGAGGCAGAGCGTGCTTGAAGATGCACTGCTAGAGCACTGACCGTGCGGGCCTGGTTCTGAGAACATGGCTTGTATTATCTCATTTGATCCTCAAATCGACCCCACGGTGTCAGTACTACTACTCTCCTCACCACACACACAAATAAACTAGGCACAGTGGGGTTACATCAGCTTGTAATGCCTGAGGTCATACGGCTTGTAAGTGGTAAATGGGGAGTCTGGCTCCAGACACTGTACGTATAACCGCTCCACTGCGGTGTCTCTTGGTGGCATGGGATGGAGGTGTCCTGGGCAGTGAATGAACTTTCCCTCCTCTTATATGTGTGTTCCTGCCTACAGTCATAAATTGTAAGGGAGTGTCCTTGTAGATCACGCAGTCATTTGGGAGACACGGTCACAGGAGAGGACCAGGGCATGAGTTTAGAGACAGATGCACTGATGCCGTGGGTGGCGGAGGTGGAGTCCAGGAAATAAGCAAATAAGCCAGGGTGCAGTGACTCTTCCAGGGTAAGGGAACTGGTTGGGGAAGGGGATGCAGCTGGGGGGGTGAGGGGAGCACCCCCAGAGGGACCTCCCTACCTGGCTAAGCAGTGAGGAGCGCCATCAAGAGGTTACACCAGGGTTAGAACCATGCCTCTGGGCTAGAAGGATCAAAGAAGCCTAGGGGAGCTGCAGGGAGCTTGCAAGGGTTCTGGGCAGTGGCCAGGCAAGAGCTGCCTGGGCCACCCAAGCCCTGCAGTCCCCCAAGGTTCTTTTCTGCACTGACTTCCCCTCAAAGGCTGTTGGATTGTTCTGATGATCTCAGCAGTTTCCCAAAGGGCAGGATGTTCCCAGCTTGTTGTGCTTCTGAGATAAGGGGACAGACGAAAGCAGGGATAAACCTGAGGGCCCAGCCGGAAGTGCCTGCAGACCTCTCCGGAAGCAGCAATGGGGGGGGGACCCCCATCCCTGCAGGACCGGGGCTGGGGAGGGGATGGCTACATGGCCCAGCCCTGAGGGGCTGACACCTGGTGGTGGTGGGGGGAACACAATGCTTCAAGTCCAGAGACTGGGGTGCTGGTCTTTAATCCTCTGCTTCCTTGCTGTGTGACTAGGGCAAGTTGCTTCACCTCTCTGAGCCTCAGTGTGTTTGAGTAGCATGAGGCAGGGTGAGAAGCAACGCCTACACTGTGGGTGTGTATGAGAAGGGAAGGAGGTGAAGGATGGAACCTCACAGGCTGCAGAGGACCATGCTGGTGCCAAGGCTAAGGGCACATGTGGCCTTTGCTCCTGAGGGCCATCACCAGAATGGGGAAGCTGGTGCACCCTGGAAAGGCTTCAGCCAAAGAGGAACAGAAGACCCCGGGGCAGACCCCTAATGCTGCTCCTAGCTCCCTACTATTTTGGGTGTTGGGCAGGTCCCCACCAGGATGAACAGGGTAGAAGTAATCCCTGCTTGGCAGGTTTAGCTATAGAGGGGGAGGTCAGAACATTCTAGGTGGGAGGTGGCCCAAGGGGCCAGCCGCTGACCTCACTTGTCCCCTTTCCTTGCTCTGCTCTTCCAGTGGGAACGCCTCTGGTTCCTGCTCCTCACCTTCACCTTCGGCCTCACACTCACCTGGCTCTACTTCTGGTGGGAAGTGCACAATGACTACGATGAATTCAACTGGTGAGTGGGTATGGAGTGGACAGGGGACATGGGGGCCTGGACCTTGGGCTGGAACTGGGGGGCTTTGGTTTGAACCTGTCTCCCAGGCTGGGCCCCAGAGCTTGTGTATGCCTTTTGGGGACAGGGTGATCCTCTGGAAAGTACAAAGGCCTTGCAGGAGCTGAGAGCCACTGGGGAGAACAGGGAACTCTTTCCTGTTGAGCTGTCATGGAAAATAGGAACAGGAGGCTGGGGCAGGGCTCAGCCCAGGTCTGGGGTCTCTGGACCTCATTGTGGACAAGAATCCCAAGGCCCAGAAAGGCCAGGGCCTCGGCAGAGGAGGTGACCCCAGCCCCCAGGCATCCGAAATCCCTAAGCAGGACCTTGGGCAGGGCTAGCAGATGCTACGGTTCTAGGATAGCTCAGCACTCCTCAGGTCCAAGGGCAGGGCCATCTGAGGCTGGTACCAGAGCACCAGGGTACTTGCTTCTTCCTCACCGCCTCCGCTGCCTACCTTTGTCAGACAGTGAAGGGCACAAGAAGGGGGTAAGTTCCCTGGGTTCTGGTGGGGAACTCCTCCACTGACAGGCATGGAAACGGAGGCCCCAGGTCACACAGCCAGTGGGAGCAGACGTGGGGCTTGGAAGCCAGGCCTCCTCACTCTCCATCCTGTTGAAAGTTCAGCTCAGTTCACCGTGACCATGAGCACACTAAGCTGAGCCCCTCTTAGGCTTAGTTTCCTCTTCCGTAAAATGGGATAACTCCACTGTCATAAGGTCTTTCTGAGGATGAAAAGAGATGATGACCATACGAGGGCCCAGAGCTCCACATCACCCTCAGGGCTGCTTGCTGGGAGGCCAGAGCTCCAGCTGGAAGGTGGCCATGAGGTTAGAATTTGGGATTTCCAGGACTCTGGGCTTCTGAAATGCTGTGGTTCTAGGATTCTGAGATGATCCTAAGATGCCATTAGTGGAATCTGGGCATCCACTCCCCTCTGCATGACACAAGGCTGTGCCCGTTATTAATGAGCACAATAAAGGATGTGCCGCTGTCCCCCTGCAGCCTGGCAAGATGAGCCTGAGTCCCAGAGGTGGCCTCTGGCCTTTATTAAATGCCATAAATCAATTATTCATCCTCACAGATACCCAAAGCACTGTTGTGCATAAATGGAAACATTCCCTGCTGGCCCTCCACTGCAGACTTTGGGCTGAACTGGAGGGCTGCTTCCTGGGAGCTCATCCGGACTACCCCCATCATGTACAGATGGGGAAACTTAAGGCCCAGAGAGGGCAGGACTCACCCGTAGCCACAAAACCAGTTAGTGCCAAAATAGTTTGAGGACCGTCTGAGGAGACTGAAGCTCAGAGAGGTTACGTAAACTTTCCAAAGTCACACAGCAAGAGGCAGGCAGGGACCTGAGCGTGGCTGACTGGATCACACTGTCCACAGAACTACCTCCCTCTGTCTAGAGTGAGCGCCCTGTCACTGGGCAGCTCAAGCAGAGCACAGGTGCCTGCCCTGTTGGGGAGGCTGCAGGGGGAAGGCCTGCCTGGGACTTAGCGATGGCCTCAAGACCCGTAGCTCCCTCAGCCTGTCCTCTCAGTTTGTTGGAGTTGGTGCTGGGATTCAGGAGACCCGGGCCCGGCCCTCCTGGTCTCAAGAGCGTCTGGGGATGGTTCACACAAGTGAGAGGACATGAGCAAGAGGCAGGTGGTCAGGGCTGGATGCAGAGAGCCAGGGAGGGGGCTGTGTGGGCGCTGCTCTCCAGGAGGGCTCCCTGCCAAAAGTGAGAGACAAGTGTCACCAAACAGCTCTCAGGAGTCATTCCCAAGGAGCAGGTCCTGCCCTTCTTTGGGCCTCAGTTTCTCCAGCTGTATGGTGAGAAGGATGCACTCAGTGGTCTTCTAAGCAGCAGATTTTCACCTGCAACTGAGGATGAGGGTCAGGGAAGGGCAGGTGCCCCAGAGTGTCCTCCTGGTGTCTCCTCCCAGCCCCTTGCCCAGGCCAAAGGTGGCAGCAGGCTGGAAAGCACCTGGGGCCGGCTCACATTCTCTGACTACTCTGGGTGAACTGCTGTCTTCTCTGAGCTTCAGTGTCCCCAGCTGTCCAGGGAGGATGCAGGTGGCTCAGTCTTTCTGGAGAGCAGCTCAGCAGTAGCTCTCAGGAGCCTTAAAAAGTTCATTCCCTTTGACCTATGATTCTATTTGTAGGAGCCTAAGAAAATAATAGAGCTATATGCAAAATTTTCTTTTTTGTGTTCATTTATAAGAGTGAATCATTGCAATCTGTTTTCATTAGTAGAAAGTTGGCTACATATGGCACATTAATTCAGCAGACACATGGCTTTTCAAAAATCACATTTCCTTGGGATTTTTACTGACATCAGTAAATTCTTGTGTTAATAATGAGAAGAGAACTGACTACTACCACGTGCCTTGCCTCCTTTCGTGCTCTGGAAGCCCCGTGAAGGACACTTTGTTCTCTCCAGCCTACAGATGAAGAAGCTAAGGTTCAAAGAAGTCCGGGATTCTAATTTATCAATCCTAAGGCCCCCAGACTTTCACATTTTAGCATCGAAATTAAGATGAATGTCACAGTCAATGGCATCTTAGAATCAAGGAAGCCTGTCACCTCTGCAGGCCAGTAAGAGGCAGAGAAAGGGGATCTGAACCCTCTGCACCTCCCTCCGAAACCCAAGCTGAGCATGTACTGGACATGGCAAGGTCCTGGCTTTGCTATTTTATAAATATATAACCATGGGAAACCCACTGGAAGAAAAGTATGCAAAGTCTTGCTAATGGTTACTTCTGGGCTGCAGAAATATGGAGAACTGTTGTTTTCTTCTTTATGCTTCTTGGCCTGCCCCGGGGTCCATTGTGAGCCCTGGACAGGCCTGACCGGTGAGCACGGAGACTGTGATATCATTACTGAGGGGTCCAAGGCCTGGTCACTGAGGCTGGCTGTGAGCGCTGACAGCCTGCTGGGCCAGGGGAGCCTCCTGGTTCCCTGGTGCAGGTCTGACCTCTTCTCCTCCTGGCAGGTACCTCTACAACCGCATGGGCTACTGGAGTGACTGGTCCGTGCCCATCCTCATGACCACAGCTGCCGCCTTCACCTACATCGCAGGCCTCCTGGTACGTGGGGCTGTCCCAGAGGGCAGGCAGCCCTGCTCCCAGGGGGAGGGAGGCGGCTTGCACGGGCCAATGGAGGGTTACCCTGGTCTAAAGGGGGAAGCTGGCTTTTTCCCAGGGCCCCTTAGCCTGCTGCACCTCTGGGGTCGGAGGTCATCTTGCTTTTGCCCCATCCTGGAACGTCTTCCTCCTGACCCAGTGAGAACCTTCTTTCTGTTAGGGCCCACTGCAGACTGTCTCTTCCAGAAACTTCTCCCAATTCTCTATTCCCTCAGACTCAGGTCAATTCCCATGCTGGGCTGGGGGCTTTCTGGGGATGAGGCTCAAGTCTGCTTCAGAACCCTGGGGCCTCAAACTCCTAAAACCTTTACCAGGCAGCCCAAGTGCAGCAGGGTCCAGTGACCTCTTGAGGGAAAAATTGTAGGGGAGGAGGAGCCTAGGGGCCTAGAATAACCTGGGAGGTGGCCAGGCTTGGGCTGGGCTGAGCATTCCCACTGCCTGTCCCACTCCAGTTTATTGACTGCCGAAGGGCGTGTGGGAACCAGCAAAAACCTTCGGGTCCCACATGGTACCTGACTGCTACCCTGTGGGCCCCATCCTCAGGTCCTAGCACTATGTCACATCGCTGTGGGGCAGCAGATGAACCTCCATTGGCTGCACAAGGTAAGGGCAACCTCCATGGGGGCTGGGAGAAGGAAGGGGGGCTGCAGGCTGTGGCAGCAGAGGAAGAGCTTGGACATGCCATCCTTCCTCCTTGGAAGGAGGCCATCTCCCCTCTGGATTGCCCTTACAGTCGTTCAGACAGCTACCAGAGTACTCACTCTGTAGCTGGCATTGTTCTCATAGGTTGGTTGGCTGATGTTAACTCATTTAACCCTCATGGTAACCCTATGATGGAGGGACTTATCATCCCATCTTGCAGCTGGAAAGACTGAGGTACCATGAGTTTAAGAAACTTGCTCAGGGTCTCCCACTTATTTGGATCCTGGCTCTGTAGCTGCCAATTGGCCAGCACAGGTCACAGCCCCAGCTCCCACCGTCTTCATTCTTCAATATGGTTAAACTCACATGGTGATGTTATTCCTAACTCAGAACCCTTCCCACCACTCCCCTTGCTCCCAGGGTGATCCCACCTCCCCCACTAAGGCCCTGCATGACTTGGGCCCTGCTCATGCCTCCCAAATGCTGGCATGGGACAGTCACCTCCACTTCTGCTGCATGAGACAGCCTGGGCCCTCCTGGTGTGGCTGCTTCTTCTTGACTCTACCTCTTTGCTCCTGCCCTCCCTCTCTCTCTCCTTTGGACTCCTTTCTTCATTTGCGTCCCCCACCCACACGCTGCTCAGTCTCCCCTGGCCCTGACCAGCTCCCCTGCCGGTCCTTAGCATCTGTGTTGTCCACTTCCACCTGGCCCCCCCACACCGACCCTCCCCAGTCTGGGAGCTCCTTGCAGGCCAGATTGGCTTTGCCCATCTCTGTGTCCCCCGTGCCCCACTCAGGGTGGGGCCCAAAGTGGGGAGGCTTCATACATTCCAAGGCTTAGTGCTCAGGCCACTCATTGCACACGTGAATGCATGTGGCCGATGCCTGCCTTTCCTGAGGCCTCAGCTGGCATGGGGTGTGGCACAAAGCCGACCATGAGAGCCCCTCCTTCCCCGGAGCATGTGGGGCGCAGAGGGAGCCTAGGTGTCTCTTTTTACCAGAGCGTGGCTCAGAGTGAGCATGCTTTTTAGGAAGGGGAAGATATGTCCAGAAGTAACTGTGAGCCCATGAGAGGGGTGCAGAGTGACAAGGGGAGGGGCTCACTTCCTGCTAGAAGGCGGACATGGAACAGGAACCAGGAGGAGGACAGGGCAAGAAGCTAGGCTGTGTGGAGTGGCAGGTGCCAGGGGGCATGCATCCAGGGGGCCTCTGAAGTCAGGCATGGGGGAGTCAGATCCTGGTAACTTGAGTCTGAGAGGAGTGAAGGCCAGCCAGCAGCCTTCCCCCTTCCTCCTGCTTGTCACACTATCTTGAAGTCTCCTCTGGGCTTCTGAAGGTCCCCTCATGGGGCACTTCCTTCTCCCGGCTGGGCAGCTGACACTTGAAAGAACTGCATCAGCTGGCACCCCAGGTGGGGCTGGCACCCACTGTGGTTACCTCTTCTGGCTCATGCCTGGTTCTCAGCAGGTCAGGTCACACTTCCTTGATCCTCGTGGAGAGGCCTCCAGAGGCATGAAGCCAGCCTGGGTAGCAGATCAGTACAGGGAGTCGTCCCCTAGGTCTGGGAGGATCAGATGCCTTCATGTGCCCCAGGGCCAGCTCCTGGGGTGCCAGTCCTGCCTTCCTCTCCCCTCCATGCCCTCCCATGAGATCTCAGCATGAGGAGGGGCTTTGCAGGCCGAGCTGATCCACAGCTGGCCCTGCTGCACCAGGATGGAGGGAGTACCTGGGGGTCGGAAGATTCAAGCAGGGACTGGAGATTCTACTCTTTTGCTTCAAAGATTCTATCACTTGATCCTAAGATTCTAAAGAATCCTATCCTTTTTTGTTTTAAACCAATTTTTGACCATCTAATACACTGACACAGTTCAAAATTTAAAAGGTACGAAAAAGTTATGCAGTGTGAATCTCCCTGCTATCTTTCTAGAGGTACTCTAAGTACGTGCAAATAGGCAAATACATTTCCTTTCTCCTCCTCCCTTGACTACAAGTACTAGCCTTCTCCCTGTCTTCTGCACCTTGGGGGGCACCTGGCTGGCTCAGTAGGTTAGATTAAGTGTCTGCCTTCAGTTCAGGTCATGATCTCAGGGTACAGGACGGAGCCCCAAGTAGGGCTTGGTGCTCACAGGGAATCTGCTTTTTCCTCTCCTCCCTGCCCCTGCTCTCTTTTGCTAGCTTGCTCTCTCAAATAAATTCTTAAAAATCTTTTTTTTTATCTTGTTGATCATTTTTTAAAAAAGATTTTATTTATTTATTCATGAGAGACACAGAGAGAAGCAGAGACACAGGCAGAGAGAGAAGAGGGTTCCTGCAAGGAGCCCAATGCAGGACTCAATCACAGGACCCCGGGATCACAACCTGAGCCAAAGGCAGACACTCAACCACTGAGCCACCCAGGTGCCCAATAAAAAAAAAAAATATTTAAAAAAGTATCTTCTGTACCTTGGCAAAACCAGAGCTCCTTGTGTGGAGAGTGCCCCACGGGTGTCCACTCCTGGCTCCTGTACCCCCCCACCCCGTCCCTCATTCCAGGCTGATGCGCCTGCCCCGGATCCCAGAGTTCTCACTTCCTCGCCCACACAGTGTGGCAGTGAGCTGGGCGGGGAAGTGTGTGGTCAAGAGTGTGCACTCTCACTAGTTCTTGCCACTCGGCCTTCTGGCCTAGGGCCAGCGACACATGCCCCGCAGTCTGGGCTTAGAAAACACCCTTGCCATAAAGCATTCCCAGATTTCTTGACTTCGGCCAGTCTGATGGGTGAGGAGGATGCTGCCAGTAGTTTACTGTACATTTCTCTCTCGATGACTTAGATTCAGCATTTTCCACATGCTAGAAGTCATGTCACTTAGTTTCCTTTTCTGTAAACTGGCTCTTCATCTCTTTTGCCCCTTTTTGCGGTGGGATTTGCTTTTTGCTTACTAGTTTGTAGGAGTGCTTTATGGATTCAGAAAATCAGCCCTTTGACCACTGAACTGCAAATAATTCTTCCCAATTCATCTTTCAACTGGGCTTGTATTTTTGCCATAGGAACTTTTTTATTCTTCAGGATGTGAATGTGTCATCTCTTTTATGTCTCCTGGGTTTTGTGTCAGCCTTAGAAAAGTCTTTCCCACTCCAAGGTTATAAAAAATTTCTATGTTGGTATCACTTGGTAACTGTAGGTTTCTACTTTTTTTTTTTTAACATTTACTTATTTTATCTTTCTGGAAGTTATTTGAGGGTATCGTGTGATTTTTCTTCTTTTTTAGATGGCTTCCTAGGTCCTGACTCGACTCTCTGTTCAGTAATCCATTCATTCCCTCTAATTTGAGATGACACTTTTATATTAGACTAATTTTTAAAATATACATAGATATTTTGTATCTGGGGGCACCTGCATGGCTTAGTCAGTTAAGCACCTGACTCCTGATCCCAGCTCAGGTCTTAATCTCAGGGTTATGTGTTCAGGCCCCACATTTGGCTCCACCTTGGGCATGGGAGCCTACTAAAAAAAAAAAAAAAAAAAAAAGGATCTATTTCTGAGGTTTTTATTTACTTCCACTTATCTCTCCGGTCTCATGCCCAGTATTGTACTGCTTTACGTACTACAGTTTTATGTTTTAATCATTATCTTTATTTTGAGAGTCTCTGGTTCCCGGGGTCCTGATTAGGTCTGGTTCCCTGGCCTAGTATGGTCCAGAACAGGAGCCATTTGGGGCAGGCAGGGTACTGTGAGCAGATCTGGGTGTCCACTTGGGGACCTTCCCCTTCCTCCCCAGTCCTCTCAAAGCTTGTTTCCCAGAAACAGGAGACAAGTCCAGGCAGGGGCCCAGAGGATGAGAAGGTTGAAGTGTACTTGGGACTTTCCAGTAAACAGGAGATCCTTTCCCTGAGATGCCCCCCTTCCTGCCCCACACAGCACTCCAGAATCAGCTCAGACATCACTGCCATGAGGGGCTTTGATCACAGCTCCTACCTCCCCAGGCTGTTCCTCATCCTGGCACTGATCACATTCCACTGCCCCAATCTGTGGCCTTGTCTGAGGCCTCTGCCACAGTGGCAGCAGCGCCCAGCCCAGGGCCTGCCTAGAGGAGGTGTCTGTCAGTGACCCAAGCTGCAGCCCAGGGAGGAGGACTGGGCACAGTCACACCCATCAGTTACTGTGTGCTGGGGCAGGGCCTGTGCTTCTGCCCTCAGCCCAGGCCCCAGCAATGCCTCTGGAGGCCATCCTATCACATTCCCTGCATCAGCGCTCCCTATGAATTCAGACTGCCCTCCAAACAATCAGCCCAGGCTCCCCAGTTCTTCCTGCCATCTGGCCTCTCTTCCTCCAGCTGCAGCTCGGGAAGGCACACTCCTGCTAGGTGATGCTCATCACAGTAGCCGTGGCCATCATGTCCTGGGGGCCTACTGTGTGTGTCAGACGCTTTCCACACAGTATTTCGTTTACTCCTTGTAAAAATCTTGTTCGGGCAGCCCAGGTGGCTCAGCGGTTTAGCGCCGCCTTCAGCCTGGGGCGTGGTGTTGAAGACCCGGGATCGAGTCCCACGTCAGGCTCCTGCACGGAGCCTGCTTTTCCCTCTGCCTGTGTCTGCGCCTCTCTCTCTCTCTCTCTGTTTCATGAATGAATAAATAAAATCTTAAAAAAATAAAAATAAAATAAAAATCTTGTTCATTTGGTATTATGCCCACTTGTTCAAATTATACCACTAACATTTAGTAAGCATTTGCATTTACTATTTTGTTGCCAACCCCTGTGCTTATGAGCACAACACTTGCTTTCTCCACCTTATCCCCAAACCCCTTTCAGGGGGCAGTTGCTCTTCCCATTGCATAGATCAGGAGACCTGCTTCGAGGGGCTAGCCCCTCAAATTAGGCCACAAAGCTGAAATTTAACTGAAGAATGGGACTGGTGCAGCCCTGAACCTTGGCCAGACATCTGCCATTTGGATCACAGAACCCAGATTCCAGCCACCTGCTGCACTTTTGCAAGGCTGGCTTCCCACTCCTCTCAGGCACCAGCATGCAGGCCAGGCTCACTGCACGGATATTTTGCCTGTGTCCTCCGTCCCTCCCGCTGTCCTCTCAAACCACAACCCCACCTGCACAGGAAACCAAGGACCACTTTCAGAGCAGGATAGTGAGCCATCACTGGCCTTCTGGGTGGGCTTTATCCTTTCCAGTCAGATTCAAGGGACAATGGTCACGTTGTTGGAAATCGGTGCAGTTATCATGGCTTAAGGAGACATTGGGGGGGATGTGGATCTCACAGACACTGAAAACTGCAGTAATGCTGCTGAGCATAATGGTTGCCAGGACAGCAACTGCAAAACTCAGAGAATAAAAATTTTAATTGCATTAGGATTATGGGAAATCAGTCTTTTCACTATCAGTTAAATGTAGGAAGACTGTGGAAACAACCCTTCAGAGACATTGGCAGCGCCCAGGACCTGCCTGGAAGGGGCAGCAGGGGGGCAGGGAGCCTGGGTGTTGAGGGGGATTCTCAGGGACAGTGAGCACACTCCTTGGCCTCCCCCCCCCCCCACTGCAGCATGAAAGCCCAGAAAGAGCACGACCCCTGAGACAGGCAGGATGGAGTTTGTTTCTGGATCTGCCCCCTCAAAGCTACAGGGCAAGCAAACCCTTATGCCCACTAGTTTCCCCATGTGTAAACCCAAGGTGATAATGACCTCACCTGGGACATGACAAGAAAAAACATGAGGAAAACAGGACATCCCTCCCCTGGCCCCGGCACACGGGCCCTCTGTGTACCTGTCTCTCCCTTACCCGCGTCCCCCGGGCCAGTATGTTACAGCCCATAAAGGCCCCTACTCATCTCAGCCTTATTACTGTTTCTTATTGGAACATTTGTTTCTGGGCTGATGGGCTGGAATGACAAACCTCCAAAGGAAAACTTAATCCCAGGCAGGAATGAATCTTCCCTGCCTGGCAGGGAACAAAGATGGATCAACCACTGTCTCTGCCCTTACCATCCAAGCTCCTTCTGTTAGTGGAGGGCTCTCAGAAGGCTGCTGCCTCCAGAAAAGGCACTGCAGGAAGGGGTGGGGGGCAGTGGGGAGAGCTTGCAGCAGCAGCAGGGCAGGCCATGGTGGCGCTACGGGCTGATTATGGGGGTGGGGGGTTGGAGGTAGAGGTGTGACCTGAGCTTTAAGTTGCCAGGCTTGGCAGTGAGGGGAAAGTGGCTGGACTGAGGGGGGGCTGGGGGCCGAGTAGTCAGAAACGAGGCTTCACTTGGTTTGGGGAAGCATCTTGCATTGCAGGAGATGTTTCAGATCCCATCTGTCCGCAGAGCTCACTGACCTGTGGAGGTTGTCTCGTCTTCCCTCAGGGTTATGCTCCTCACCTTCTCCGGGAGGCAGCTCAGAGGGCAGCCCCCACCAACACAGAAGCTGGAAGCTCAGAGGCCAGGGCTGGGAGCAAGCCTTGGCGGTGGCGCCGGGCAGGGGGTTGGGGGCAGAACCCTGCCTCACGTCTGCTTGATACCCCCCAGGGGGTATCAGCTCTTGCAGGGAACCCGGCTTCTCAGCCTCCTGCCCCCATGGTCTGGACAAGTCACCCTTCACCACAAGGGGTGCTGGCAGTGCCAGGAGAGGCCTTGGACGTGACAGGCTGGGGCCGGGAGAGGTCCCACTGGCCGAGTGTCTTCTCATACCCTCAGTGGGGCTGAACCCTGGGTTGTGCCTCACCTCCCCGCCAGCTGCCTCCCATCTTCTCTCCTCTCCAGCCTCCCTTCCATATTCTCTTGAGGTCCCCCTGCCTTCTCCTGCCTCTGTCACTTATGGCTCCCTTACAGTCGTGCCTCCCTGCTCTGTGGGTCTCTCTTGCACTCTCCATTCCTCTCTGTGACCTCTCAGGCTCTCCCACTGCCTGCCCCCCCCCCACACACACACACTGGGGATGCTCAGGCTGTCCAGGCACACTGGCTCTGACCCTCTGTTGGGGGATACTTCCCCTTCCAGATGGGGCTGGTGGTCATCCTGGTGTCCACAGTGGTGGCCATGTCAGCCGTGGCCCAGCTGTGGAAGGACGAGTGGGAGGTGCTGCTGATCTCCCTGCAGGTGAGTGGGGGGGGGGCGGTAAGAGATGGTGGGGGATGGTGGGGGGTAGTTAGGGGGTAATGGGTAGTGAGGGAGGATAGTGAGGGATGGTGAGGGGTGGTGAGGGGGTAGTGGGGGGCAGTGAGGGGAGACGGTGAGGGGTGGTGAGGGGGTAGTGGGGGGCAGTGAGGGGGGATGGTGGGGGATGGTGAGGAGGTAGTGGGGGGCAGTAAGGGGAGACGGTGGGGGATGATGAGGGGTGGTGAGGGGGATAGTAGGGGCAGTGAGGGGGGACAGTGGGGATGGTGAGGGTGGTGAGGGGGTAGTAGGGGCAGTGAGGGGGGACGGTGGGGGATGGTGAGGGGGGTTGTGGGCAGCTCCTTCCTTGGGACCTTCCAAACAAGGCAGTCCCTTTTTATCACTTATGTCTCTCCAAAGGCCCAGAGGAGGCAGGGAGTGGCCTAGGCCACACAGCAAGTCAGAGCGGGGAGGAGGCTATGGCTCAGGGTTTCTGCACCCAGAGTTTCCTCCACTGAAAAATGGAGATAGAGTTGCCTGATCCACAGATAGAGGCTGGGCATAGCTGGGAGCCAACGGTCCCTCTTGCCCCTTCCCACACACCAGGGCACGGCACCATTCCTGCATGTGGGGGCCCTAGCTGCCATCACTGCGCTCTCCTGGATCGTGGCCGGACAGTTCGCCCGTGCGGAACGGTCCTGTAAGTATGACTGCCTTCTGAGTACCAAAACCAGCTTGCCCTGCCCTCACATGAACATCACCTAGGGAGCCTGGGGATAAGGTGTCACTCTCAGTGCGGGGGTTCTGGTTCAGAGTGGACAAGTTCCACCAAGGGCTGCAACCTTGGTCAGCCCCGAGTGTTCCCTCCTCTGCCTGTCTGTGTGTGTTAGAAGTCAAGCTCGCCATCCCAGCAAGAATGGGGGCTGCCTGTGGAGCAGGGTCACCTCGGTATCTGGGTCCTGACAGGTGGATTTTTCTGCCCACCCCCCTCACCTCCAACCTGCCCAGGGTTCATGGGTGGGCCTTGTGGGAGCCAAATAGCTCCCCAGGCAGCCTCACTCACAGTCGGTGTCTGCAGCCTCCCAGATGGCCATTCTCTGTATCTTCTTTGCCGTGGTGTTTGCCTTCTACCTGGCCCCTCTCACCATCTCCTCTCCCTGCATCATGGAGAAAAAGGACCTGGGCCCCAAGCCTGCCCTCATTGGCCACCGCGGAGCCCCCATGGTGAGTGCCCCCTGAGGGTCCTAAAGGAGCAGAGTGGGGCTACCATTCTGGGGAAGAAAGGCCAAGAACCATCTCTTTGTAGAGAGGAACTTGTGGGGAAAGGAATGTAAGTGTAACGTAGTAATAGCAGTGATCTTAGATGGACTGAATCCTGAAGAGCCCTGAAAGTATCTTACTAAAAAGATTTAACTTTTATCCTGAGGGAAGATGCAGGAGGGCTTCAGGCTGGGGCCAGACCCAGCAGAGCTGGGTGAGGTGAGAGAGGTGCCAGGTGTGGGGAGGACAGCAGGTCCCTGGGTTGCCAGAGGCAGCAGAAACACATTCAGGGCTGCGGGGGGGGGGGGGGGGGTTGGCACTGAAGGGACAGGTGCAGCTCAGAGCCCACGGCTAAAGGGAAGGTAGTGGTGTTCACGGGGTTCACCTGGAAAGAGGAAGAAGTCAAAGTCGGAGCCCTGTGACCTCTCAAACAGTAGGCCTTCTGCTTGAGAGGATGGCTTCAGAGCCTTCTTCCTCGGCCTTTTGTCAGCTGTGGGAGCCTGGACTGATCCCTATCTGCTCTGCCGGTTCCCTTGTCCTAGATAACCAGAGCGTCTGCCCCGCTGGCCCATGCGAAGCAGGCCTTAGCACGTGTGAAGTGCCTGGTTATGGGCCTAGTGCACAGAAAGGAATAGGTGGACATTTCTGCTTTCTGGGGCAGGCCCTCTCCCTCCTCTGGACCAGGGGTTCCTTCTCCAGAAGCACCTGGAATGTGATTCTGAACAGAGGCAGTACCACTTTCCACCCCCAGGGGGCACTTGAAGACTCCGTGAGCATTTTTTATTTTTATTTTTATTTTTCAGTGCTTGAGAGAGAGTTCCATGGTATCACTGAATTTCAGGGTAGTCTTTGTAGCCCCTGCCATGCTCCTTTGTATCTACCCACAGTCCACCTTCTGCAGCCTCAGCCCACAAGGGAGCTCTGGCACTTGTGAGAGGCCTGGCTGTGTGGACCATGTAGAGGCGAGACGGGCAGGAGCTCCAGAGTCCAAGCCTGTCTCTAATGCCTCTGTGACCCTATTCTGCCTCTGAGTGAGGCCTCACACAGCCCACAAGACTGAGAGAAGGGAGCCACGTCCCAGGGAAAGAGGAAGAAAGGATGTCTCTTATCTTACCTGTGAGCTTGATAACATTAGCCCATTTTAAGCTAAAGAAACCAAGGTGCAGAGGTGAGGTGAGTGGGAAGTAGAATTGTTCCTTCTCAGCCCCATGGCCCTTGCTGTGGGAATGTGTTACACGTGGGAGTGGCAAGACCAGAGGGAGAGAAGATGGGCATGAGCATGTCTCGGTGGGAATGAAATCAGCCACAGGAACACCTTGCAGCCCATCCTTTCACTGCCAGGAGTCCTTCCTCTTCCAGCCCACACTGTGCAGAGTCCTAGCCCAATCCTTGGTGTGGTAGTGACCCCCAGTGGTGACAAGGGGTATGACAGGGTCCTCAGACCAGACAACTAGGGAGGGAGACTTGGAACTCCCACTCTCCCAAATGGAAGGACCCAGTGAATCCAGAGAACACGGAGTATACACCCCCAAGGGGAAAATGGGGAAGGAGATGCACTGGTGGTCACAAAGCTAGTTAATGGAAGGGCCAGGGCTAGAACCAGATCTTTTGATGTATATGCTATGATATTAGTAGTCATTTATTAAGCACTTACTGCATATCAGGCAATATGTTGGGGGCTTTTAACCCATGTAACAGTCTGGGGGGTGGTCTTGTCATGTCTGTATAGATGAGAAAACCAGGAACCCTGTGGAAACTCTGCCATCCTGAGTACCCTCTCCTCTCCCTCTGGGATTTCCCCCTGGACCCAGGGTATAACCATGAGGAAATAGCCCCAGCCCAAGACTGCCACAAGGCAGAGGACTATATAAAAGCCCTCACACCCCCACATTTCTATAGGTCAACACTAACCACCCCTGCCTCCTCCCCTCAAAAAAACCTCTGAGGCAGGCATGATCTAACTGATGAGGAAACTGAGCCTCAGAGAATCTGCGTGGGTGCCCAGGGTCCCATAACCACTGCCTGGAGGAGTGGGAACTAGAACCAGGCCTACTCTAGCCTCCTGACACAGGTTCTCATTGGCCGGGGAGGTCTACATCAGCTAAATGTTGGCTCTCCCTTCCTGCCCAGATGGCCCCAGAGCATACGCTGATGTCCTTCCGGAAGGCCCTAGAGCAGAAGCTGTATGGGTTACAGGCTGATGTCACCATCAGGTAGGTGTAGAGGTTGGGGGGACTGCTATACCTCTCATCCCTGCTGCACTCACATCCGGGACTCTGCTGGAGGAACCTCAGGTCCCAGAGCCTCAGAGATGGGAGGGCAGAGACTCGGACTATCCACTGCAGGGCCCACACCCTGTTTGTGCCAAATGCCAGGATATAAAATAGAGAAGTGAGTAGATGCTCTTGGTTCAAGCAGGGGTTGAGGACCCTGGGCAGGACCTGGGGTCCTGTCACAGATCCTGCTGAAGGAGAGACTAGATCTATATGGCTCAGCAAGATGGAGTTCAAACACTCGTAAGTGAAATAAACACATTGCAGAGTAATACATCCACTGTGATGTCAATTATATTTTAGTTAGAAGACCACATAAAATGATTTACACATTCTCAAAGTATAGCTTTTTAAAAGTATCTATTAGTATAAAGGTTGAGAAGAATCCATAAAGTCTCACAACAGATTACCTCTGAGAAGGGTAAAAAGACAGGGCTACCATGTATAGTCTACACAGGTGATTGTGTAGTGAAAAAGGAAACCACATATGTCAGGTTCCAAGTATAGATATCACCATCAGTCTATCATTATCATTGCCAGTGTAGACATCACAGAATTGTGTGTTTATCCAAACTTTCTAGCAGATGGTGGTAAAATGCCTTGAGGAAGGGGGACTCCCATGTCTCTTACTATTTCACACTAAGATACCATGTGGGCTATTGGCAGCCCCAGTGGGGTAGACCAGGCTGGTCGTAAGAGGAATGTGTCAAAGAGGCCTACATTTGTACTGTCCTATAATGGCCTCACATGGCCTGGGTTCTAAATCAGGTTCTACCACTCTCTGGACTAATGGGCCTGAGCTAGGTACTTCCCTCTCACAGCCTCAGTCACCCCATTAACAAATGAGGTGGCACCTATCTGCTGTGGTTGCTAAGAGAATAGGCCCAGCCCTTCATCTTCAGCCATCCTTACCCCCATCTCACCCTCACAGAGAGCCAGAGGGAGTCCCCCACCGGCCCACTGTCCTCCCTGAGGCCCAGACAGGAGCAAAGCCTGCTTGGCTCCCATGGGCATTGGTGTAAATGGGTGGGAAGGAGTGAATGGGTGTTGGGGGAGGATCATCAGTGGGCAGATGAGGGGCCTCGGTGGACAGTGACTTGGTGGTCCCACCTTCGCACAGCCTGGATGGTGTGCCCTTCCTCATGCATGACAACACCCTGCGGCGAACCACCAACGTGGAGGAGGAATTCCCAGAGCTCGCCCGCAAGCCCGCCTCTATGCTGAACTGGACCATCCTGCAGAGGCTCAACGCCGGCCAGTGGTTCCTGAAGGTCTGGCTATACCTGTCCCAGTCCTGGACATGGAAAACACAGATAGGGACCCCATGGGGCAGCCATCAGCTCAGATGACCCCTAGTTCCCTAGCATCAGTGACTCATCACCAGGCCGGTTGGTGACCTCCTATCACTGCAGCCCAGATATCATGGTCATCACTGCTTGTTCTGGTTCTGTTTTCCCCACAGAAAAAGTTGACAGTGATGAGAATAGTTAACAGATAAAAATTGTTAACTCTGTCAAACTCTAGAGGGAGATTGGTTCCTGGTCTGAAATGCTACTAAAATGTGCTGGGGTCTGGGAGAAGTTCCAAGCAAATGATTCTTTCAGGAAACAGGGTGTGGTGTGGAGAAGTTAAGGTTGGGATTTCCTAGACTCCCCACAGGGCCACAGCCATCAGTTTGCCTGACCCGAACACCAGCAGACACTGGCCCCAACAGCCGGTGAGGCAGCCTCTTGTATCCCTATCTCCACCAGACTGATCCCTTCTGGACGGCCAGCTCCCTGTCGCCCTCTGACCACAGGGAGGCGCAGAACCAGTCCATCTGCAGCTTAGCAGAGCTCCTGGAGCTGGCCAAGGGCAATGCCACGCTGCTGCTCAACCTGCGTGACCCGCCACGGGAGCACCCCTACCGAGGCAGCTTCCTCAACATCACGCTGGAGGCCCTGCTGCGCTCTGGCTACCCCCAGCACCAGGTGAGGCCCTGCAGAGCAGCCCCACCCGGCCCCACCCCTCAGGAAACCCAGGACTCCCTTATCAACTCCCAGACCACCTGTCTAGACCTCAGCTTCCACATTTGTAGAATGGGGATGGCCTGCCCCATGCCTTCCTGACAGGGCCATCATGGAGACAAGAGGGAAACAAGGAAGCCCTTTGAAATGTACAAAGGGCAGGAGCAGGCTCTCTGGAACACTTACTTTCATGAAGCGTTGCCCGCATCCTTGCAGTGTACTACTTGGAGATCAGAGATTTGAAACCACTTTATGGCAGCATGCCAGACCGGTGGCAACCTCTGGAGTAACCTGGGTTATCAGTCTTGTGACAAAGGGACTAGAGGGGAAGGTCCCTGAGTTGTTGCCGGAGCAATTCCACAGCCTTGGCTGGATCGAGCTGGCCCCTGTAGATGTAGATGTAGAGAACATGTAAGCTTCACTGTGTGCCGGGTCCCATCTCTTTTAACCCTTCCCGGGGCTCTGGGAGGGTAGATGCCATAACCCGGTTTGACAGAAGAGAAATCTGAGGCTGACTCGCTCCTGCCTGCAGGTCATGTGGCTGCCTAACAGGCAGAGGCCCTTCGTGCGGAGGGTGGCCCCTGGCTTCCAGCAGACATCGGGCTCCAAGGAGGCGGCCACCAGCCTGCGGAGAGGCCACATCCAGAGGCTGAACCTGCGCTACACTCAGGTGTCCCGCCAGGAGCTCAGGTGCCCACCCCAGCTCACACAGAGGAGGCCAGACGCACTGGAGCTCATGGTTCAAGGAGTAGAGGTTGAGAGCATAAGGCAGATCTGGGCGTTGTCTGAGCTTGGTCCTCTGGGAGTAGATTCTTTTCTCTGGGGACAGTTGTGAGGACAGCAGGTTTATATAGGGGGGCATGCTTTATAGATTTCCCACACTGGGCCTGGAGGCCCTGGTCCGAGGGCCAACCAGCCTCTGTCCACCGGCCCCACAGGGACTACGCATCCTGGAACCTGAGTGTGAACCTCTACACGGTCAATGCACCGTGGCTCTTCTCCTTGCTGTGGTGCGCGGGGGTCCCGTCTGTCACCTCTGACAACACCCATGTCCTGTCCCAGGTGCCTTCCCCCCTCTGGATCATGGTGAGTTGGGAAATTTTGGGGGGGCAGAGAGGATACCTGGGGATGTATAGAGAGAGCCTATGGCACAGGGTGGGGGGCAGGCTCCACACTCCAGTCTCTGGTGAGGTCTCAAGGGTGGGGAGCAGGACACTGAGGAGGATTTTCATGGCCTCTGAGGTCTGCACTATGGTGCTGGGGGGTGGGGAGAAAAACATCATTTCAGGGTCCTAGGGGAGTCAATTACTACTTGGGGTTTGAGCTTGGGGAGGTTATGTCTTATTTTAAAGGAGGGGGAAAAAGAGTAACAACAGGACAAGGATAGAGAATGTGAAAAGCTGGTCTGAGAATAAAGCAAATAAAACCAATTTTCAACTGGTTGATGGAGCACCTGCTGACAGGCTTGAGCTCCAGACCCAGCTCTGCTATAGGGGGTTAGGGGTGCCTGTGACCTCCCTGCTGTGCGCCCACTGCCACCTCCCCGAGGACATAACAGCTAGTCCAAGGGTCTTGTTATAGCTGAGACAGTGTCGGGGTCAGTGAATCAGATCTAGGTTCTGGAAGGTGTGTCCATCCACCTGTCCACTGTCCTCACAAACCTCCAAGGGCTCTGCTCAGAACAAGATGGAGGAACTCACTGACTGGTGGCAACAGCAATGAGCACCTTCGAATTTTCAGGTCACTGGAGCTGACCAACAGCGAGAAGGGCTCCTGGCCCAGCCCCAACCCTCCTCCACAGTCTCCCTGAGATCAAGGGCCCTGGAGGCCTGGCTGCACAGGAGGCTTTGCCCTCCCTGGCCCCTGGAGGGGGAGCTCCCGCACTCCACACCCTAAGGAGACACATGTGACCTTAGACCCGCACAGATGCCCTGTGCCTCTCCGCACACACCCCTGCATACCTGCTAGTCCTTTACACCTTCACATTCAGCTGCCTGCCTTTCATTGATTTGCCTTCTGCTTGGAGTCCCCTTAAGCACACAAACCTTTCAGGCTTATTAACATATGCCACCTTTACCCTGACCTCCCCACAGACTTTTTTTTTTTTTTAGAGAGAGAGAGAGAGAGAAGACAGAGGGAGGGGCAGAGTAAGAGGGAGAGAGAATCTTAAGCAGGCTTCATGCCCAGCATGGAGCCCAACGGGGTGCCTGATCTCACAGCCCTGAGATCATAACCTGAGCTGAAATCAAGAGTCAGACACTTAACCAACAAAGCTACCCAGGCACCCCCACATAGCCCACACAGATCTCTTTTATCCTACACTTGCACATGCACACGCCCACACCCCCACAGTGCTCAGATCTCACTGCTACAAAATATAATCTCAAGGCCCCAAACCCCAAAGCCCCCTCTAGGTCCTCCCTCATCCTTCCTTGAGGGTAACATGGGGTCCTCCTACCCAGACCCTCACTTTGGAGCTCTGGTATGGACCGGACATAACTGAAAACTGGCCACGGGCCATCTGTCCACAGCCCCCAGACGAGTACTGTCTCATGTGGGTCACCGCGGACCTGATCTCCTTCATGCTCATCATTGGCATCTTCGTGCTCCAGAAGTGAGTAGGCTCTGACCTCCTTCCATGCCCCACAAGCCCAGCCCCCACCCCAGCCAGTCGAACCTCCTCCTGAGCCCTGGGCAGCCTTTTCAGGGTAAAAGGAGGACCACCCAGTGGCCCTCAGCCCATCCTCCTCAGCCAAAGCTGAGTGGTTTCTGGAACAAGCACCCAGCTGGGAGCCCAGAGCCAAGCTCTGCCATGACTTGCTGTGTGGACTTTGGTGGGTTTCAGCTCCTCTCTGGCTGTGTCCTCACCTGTTCCCTAGGGCCTGGGCTGTCACCAACACTCAGAACTTGGGTGTGCCATGCTGGAGAACCCCTGCCTGTCAGGGCAGCAGCTGGGACAGTGGTGCAGTGGGGAAGGAGGGGCTGGTCCAGGGGAGGGTTTAGGGCCAGGCAGGGGCCCCCAATCCAGCCACAAACAATGACTGGCTGTTTTATTCCTGACTGACGTTCTCTCTCTGTCACACACTGCTCTGATCCGGCGCATGTCCCTCCTCTCTCTCCCCACTCCCCTCTCTGCTGCACTCTGGCATCTCACAGCTATCACTTGATCAGGTAATTCTGGTGTGGTCTTCCTCTCCTGTTCCTCTTTCTCCCTCTTCCCTGCCATCCCTTTCTCCAGTTCCATCTGAAAACCTGCTGTGCACCAAGCCTGTGCCTGGGTCCCTCGTGGGTCCCCCTCCAGACACCTCCTCCCCTCGCCTGATGCCTCCTGCTATCCTTTCTCTGCCCCGCGATCCTCCCTTCTCTCCCCATCTCGCCATGTGTGCCCTGCTGCCCTCTGGTCCTCCTTGCTGTTTCTGTGGACGGAAGCCAGCGCTTCCTTGCAGGTTGCTGACCAGGCCTCTCTCAGCACCAAAGCAGCTTCCTCTGGGGAAGGACTGTGCCTGGCCACCCCTCCCAAGGCTGGCTCGCAGGGGCCTTCACCACTGCCCAGCACTAACCCTACCAAGCTCTGTCTCTCCCTTCCAATCTCTTGGTGTCTCCTCTCGGGCTTTGCCTCTCAAATTGCTCCTTAACTTTCTATGTGTGTCTCTCCTCTCTCACTCTCCATTTCTGACTCCCCTCTTATACACATAGCCTCTTTGCTTTCCCTGGAATAACCCCACAGTGGTTGAGCTTCCTGTCCTAGATGTACCTGGCTGCAGAGACCCCAGCCTGACACCTTCCTCCTGGGTGTAATGTTAATTTCCAATGTGAGTCCTAGGTCCTGGGGATCCAAGACCCCATGTTGGTCCAGTGCCTTGGGCCCTCCTGGTTTAGATACCTTCACCAACCAGCTTCCAGGAGGACACATTGCTCCCTGACTGAGGGACAGAGCCCAGCAAAGGGACATGCATCTCTCCTTCCTTCATCCTCTTAGTCAGTAGGTACCCCCATATGCTGCCACTGTGCTGGGCCTGAAACAGGGAGCCAGGCTTTTACCCTTGGAGCCCCAGTGTGCTGAGGGGCAGCTGAGGTGGCCCAGGTGCCAGGCCTGCTCAGTGTCCAGCCCGGGCCATGACATTGTCTTCCTGGGAGTCTGGAGAGGACTGACAGATGAGGGAACCCTAAGGGACACCATTCTCTGTGGCCCCCTAGCCTTCATTCATACATTCAACAAATACTCCGGACACCTGCCACATAGCAGGCATTGAGGTCAGGGACACAATGACAAATAAGAGACCCTGTCGCTGCCCTTAAGGACATGTAGGGCAGCCAGCCCAGCCAGAGCACAAGCTGCCTTCCCCTCTGCTTCTTGCTTTCCCCTGTCTGTCTGCTCTTTTCATTCACCCACCTGCCTGTCCATCTGTCTGTCCATTTCTGCTGTGCTGACCCCATCTGGAAACAACTGATTTCTCATCGAGTCTGGGCTCCCCCCACCACCCAGCAGGGCTCAGTGCCTGGGGAGGTTGGGTTCTTGTTTCCAAGCTGATCCCTGCTTCTCTTGGTGGGAGGGAGAGGGGGCAGTGAATCTTTTGGTCTGGTTCACTAGAAAAGTCTTAAGTTCAGAAACTAGAGATCTAGGGCTGGTTGAGAGAAACTGCAATGGCAAAAACTACCCCAGGCTGGGCACCAGAACCTGAGTCTCCTGGCTCTGCCTGGCCCCTGCACACCCCTACAGCCTCACCTCTTGCCCACTGGCTTAATTTTATTCCCTGCCTCAGCCATCAGAGCAATTAATGCTCTTGCCCCTGCCTCCCAGGAGGAAATAGGCCACTCTTCCAGGGTTGTTGGAGCAGAGCAGCCTCTGGCCCACCCAAGTGACCCTGACACCTCTGCCTCTGAACCTGTGAAGACAAGCCTCCCACGGCCTCCTCCTTGCTTTCTACCCTCTCTCACTTCCTCTTGGGCCTTCCCCACTGGCTTCACCCAGCCTAGCCCTGATGGTGGAGCTGGATGATACAGCAGCTGGGACTCCCTGAGATTGGTGTGTTCCCCACAGATGGGTGTTAGAGTCATGCCTGCTAAACTCTGCCCTAGTTTGTCCCATTCAGTCAGCGTACAACTGTGGGCACCTAAAACAGAATTCACCAACCCCAAACAAACCATCTTCTGGGCCAAAGGGACCTGATCTAGGATCCCAGGGACAAGAGGGAGGCAGGAGAGCCCTGGTTCAGAGTCAGTAGACTCTGATTCAGGCTCAAGTTCTGCCCTTGTCTGGGCCTCAGTTTCCCCATCTGTAGTCAGACAAGAGTCCTGCTGGTCTCTCAGGCCAGATCCAGACAGGCTCTGGGATTGGGCAGGATGCTCCCCTCCAAGGAAGTGTGGGAAATGACCCGTGCCCATGGGCCATCTCTGCAGGTGGCGCCTAGGTGGCATACGAAGCTACAATCCTGAGCAGATCATGCTGAGTGCTGCAGTGCGTCGGACCAGCCGCGATGTCAGCATCATGAAGGAGAAGCTCATCTTCTCAGGTGTGCAGGCCTGCTACTCGGGGCAGGCAGCGGGCTCAGTTATCTCCACCCCACACATGCACTTGAGTATGTGTGCACATATTCGCACGCAGCACATATTCGCACGCAACACATACTGGCAGGGACATAACATGGACATACATACACCCACCCAGCTTTGCAGTTGGGGGGGTCTGCTTTTAAAGTTCACCCCTTTTTGTCTGGTTTGTATGCCACAAATACTGATTTTTTACTCCTGTTTGCTGCCAGTCCCTGTTGACATTCCCAGTCTGATGGAAGAGACAGCTGTATAAACAAATACATAGAAAATTGGGTACCACTAGAGCTCTAACAGGCATGCGAGCCAGAATGGGCTGCAGAAGTGAATGGTCAGAGCTCTCTGGGGCAGTGAGGATCTTGGGGCCCATTTTGCAAGGAGGTGATCTAGCTGGAATGGGAAAGATGAGGAGGGGCCTGGGTGGTGGGCTGGAGGTGAGGGCTGACTGAGCAAAAGGAAAGAGGGGCATTCAGGCAGGAACAGCATATGTTCAGAGGTAGTGAGGGGGCATGGCTTACTGGGGTACCAGGAACTATGTATCATGCCATATGGCATGAAGGGTGGCCTTGCACTCACATGGCATTAGGGAGGCACTTTGGCTTCAAGCCTATGGTCAGGAACTTGGGCTTCACTTTGAAAGCAGAGTATGGTCATGGGCAGATTTGTCCTCGTTACAGTAGGGCTGAAACAATCACCACAAACTGGGTGGCTTAAACCCAGAAATCTATAGTCTCAGCTCTAGAGGCTAGAAGTCCAAAATCAAGGTGTTGGCAGGGTTGGTTCATTCTGAGGGCCATGGAGAAGGATCTGGTCCAGGCCTCTCTCCTTGACTTGCAGACGGTCATCTCTGTTTACATGGTGCTCTCCCAATGCATCTCTGTGTCTAAATTTCCCCTCTTTATAAGGACTCCAGGCCTATTGGGCTGGAGCCCACCTTAATGATTTCACCTTAACTAATTCATATCTGCAACAACCTTATTCCCCTATAAAGTCACATTCTGGAAGTACTGGGGGTTAGGACTTCAACCTATGAATTTGGGGGAGAGCACAACTCCATCTATAACAAGTGTGGAGGGTAGAATAGAGGGGGAAGCTGGAGGCAAAGAAACTAGTAACTCAGGTGAGAGACTGGGTATGGGAATATAGGAGAGGAGAGATCTGAAGAATATTTGGGAGCCAGATGGACTGGGGTTCAAATCCCAGCTCCATCCCCAACTAGATACGAGAACCAGAGCACATTAGCATCAGATGCCTCCTCTGCAAAATGGACTGGCACTCCCTCACAGGGTGCTTGAAGGGTCAGCACCACGCCTGGCCCAGAGGTATGCTTGGTAACACTGAATGAACGAGACCCCAGTGGGGGTGACTGGTTTGGGGGCTGGTTCCCAGGATGGTATGAACATCTACTCATTCATTCGTTCCTTTATTTTCATTCCTTTGACAAATGAATGCCAGGCACTGTCTTAGGTGCTTAGGATTCACAGATTCTTGCCTATGGGGTACTTGCATTCCTCCTGCCTTGGCTGAAAAGACCTCCCTCTCCTGAGAGCCTTCCCTGAGCACCAAGGCTGGGTTGGGGTGCCTCCCTTGGTGGCCCACAGCCCTCTAGCCACCCTGGGGAGCTCCTGAAAGGAGGGGTCAATCAAAGGCACCTGGAGTCCCCAGGTCCTACAGCCTGGCCCAGAGAAGTCAGAAGGGGCAGGGAGAATGAATGGAAGAGGCCAACCCCTAGGCCTGGCAGGTTCTGTGCATCCAGGGCCCCACCTCTCCTCAGTGGCAAAGGCTATTTATTCATTAAGCATCTTCTAAGTGCAGGCTCTGAGGAGCCAGCCACAATCCTCACCTAACTCTGCCCATTCCAGGTTAAAAAGTCCTTTACAGAGACTCTCAGCCTCACCAAGGCACCCTCAGTCCCCTCAGGGTGGGTTCAGCTCTACTCGGCAGACCTTTTCTGAGGCTCTGTTGTATGTCCAGTGCTGTGCCAGGCAGTGGGGACACACAGTGACAGTACAGGATGTAATGGGGCACAGGAAAGAAGGGGCTAGGCTGGCCGTGAGAAGGCCCCATCCTACCGCAGGGGGGATGCTCAGCAGAAGCTTTTAGGAGGTGGTGATAATAGAGATGAGAAAAATTGAGCCAGATTTTAAGAAGAGGAAGTGTTTTCAGGGAGGTCATTCCCAAGAGAGGCCTGAGTAAACACATGGGTACCGAGATCAGGAGGGTGCAGATGGTTTCCCATGGAATTCCGGGGACAGCAGATGAGGTGTGACCAGACTGAGGTGTGACCAGAGTGTTTGCAGAGTCCAAGGAGGGCCCTGAATGCCAACCTCAATACCAAACCTGAACCCAGTGATTTCATCAGCCTCCAAGTGCCTGACCAGGACTTGCTGCAGGTGCCCCTTCCTGCTGCATCAGCCAGCCATCCTCACTGACCCCTCTTCTCCCCACTCACATTCTGCCTCCCTCTGACCCAACAGAGATCAGCGATGGCATGGAGGTCTCCGATGAGCTCTCTGTATGTTCAGACAACAGTTACGACATGTATGCCAACCGCGCTCCCACCCCCATGAATAACCGCGGGAGTGGCAGCCGCACCAAGACTCTCACAGACCGGAGTGGGCGCTAGCTGAAGACCTGTTTATCCCAGCCTGTACCTGAGGTGGAGACCAGGGAACCCCAAAGAGCTGGCACAAGCATGTCTGGACTGGGAGAGCTCTGGGAGCTGGCTCCACGGCCTCCCCGTCGGCTCTGGCCCTCTGTCAGCCATGGGCTCCGCCGAGGGGGCTCCCCTCTCTCCTGAGGCCCAGCTGGGTCAGGACTCCAGCCTCGCAGATGCCCCTGCAGGCCTGGGGCTCCTTCTGGAAAGTTTGGGGCCTGGGGCCTGGTCCTCCCCTGGAGGCCTTCCCTCGTATCCTGATCTGGAAGCTTTGACGAGGTTCTGGGCCGTGCCACGTCCCTGTGGCAGTTGAGAATGTGGATATCCACATGTACCCATGTTTGTCCGTCCTCCTGTTGCTCAGAGGCAACTGACTTCTCTGTGTGTTTCCTGCCTTGAGGGCCTGGGCTGGGCCTCTGCCCCCTGCATCTCTGTCTGTCTCAAAGCACAAGGATTTTCAGCCCAGGAGGAAAGCCTGCGGTGGTGGAGACACTCCTCCCCGGTGCTGCGGTGGTGGAGACATTCCTCCCCGGCCGGCCTCCTACCACCACTGGCCCTGCCCCAGGAGAGGGACCAAGCCATGTCCCCCGGAGCAGCTGGAGATGGCCAGAAGAGTAGGCTTCAGGCTACTTTTATCCCTTACCTAAGTGTCCAACAGGCTTCTAGGGCAGAGTGGCACAGAGGCCCAGGAGGTCCACAGACTGACACAACCTCAGGTTTCCACATTGGTGGCCACAGGGTAGTGGCCACCTGGGAAGGGTGGGCATAAGGCCAAGGAAGCCTACAGCAGAGCGAGCCTGAGGGCCTTGGCCAATATGATTAAAGCTGCCATCTTGACATGTGTCGTCTCTGAATGGTCTGTGGGAGGGTAGGGATAGAGTTTGCTGAGTTTGGGATTCAGTTTGGGGCCGATGATTTGAGGAGGAAGCATTCTCAGAAATGAATAGAAGAGCGCAGGGTGCTTGGGCCCCTACCCAGCATCACCATGACACTGGGGTTTCCTTAACAGCCCTGGGATTGGGGATCAGTATCCCCATATTGTGGTGGGGAGAGATGGTCCTGGAGTAGTAAAGTGACCATCCAAAACCACACAGCTTAGAATGGACAAAGCCAGAACCGCGCCCAAGCTCCAGCCTGAGTATATGCATGCCTTCCACAACCAGCCAGAATGGCAAGGCGGATGGGAAGGCCTCTTGGGTCTGACGCAGGGCTGGGTGGTGGAACTAGCCGGTCCCCTCACAGCCATATGGAGGCTTTCTGAGGTGCTTCCTAGGAGCCAAGGGATATATCCCTTCTCCAAACAGGAGTCTTCTGGATAGAACTCTTGGGGTCTGAGGAAATTCTGGCACCTTCTTGGAAGAAAGAAAAAGAAATCCCTCCCAGATGCTGGAATCCAGACTGGGCCCCCCACATTAACCTCTAGGACTGCCCTCTGGGAACTGGGAGGAGATGTGCCCTCCTGTCCTCCTACTGAACAATTGCCAAGCGCATCCCTTCCTGAGGCAGAGGTCAACTCCTGCCTCTCCCTGGGCATGAAGTATAAGGGAAACCCTGAACAGCTGAGTCAGGGATGGGACACACTGCTCTACCCAAAATGCCCCGGTAACCGTTCCAGCCTCTGGCTGACCCACCCAGGAAAGTGGATTTGACCTTTCCAGCCCTTCCCTGTCCCATCAGTGCCCCTGACTAGGATATCCCTGGCTTGTGGCCACACCTGGGCAACCTGAGATCTCAGAGTCTCCAGGAGCAGGTAGAGGGGGCTGGACAGCTAGTTAGCATCCCACTCTCACCAGGGCCCTACACTGTAGCCATGTCCCCAGTGCAGAGGCAGTCTAGCTGCCTCCCTCACCCCAAACAATGGAGGGATGATGGAGGCCATCCCCTAGCTGAGCAGACAGCCAGTCCTGTCTCCACCCTCAGCTGCATGCACAGCCTGGGGCCAGTGCTGGCTTCTGGCCCTTGACCTGAGGAGTCACTGAGAACCCCACTTCCTGATGCCATCCCCACCTCTTCCCCTTGTCTGGAGGACAGACAGGAAAACTAGAAACAGAGCCCCTCCCCTTCCCACTCCTCCCTTCCTTCCTTGGACCTCAAGGGTGCAGCCTCCACCAGGTGGAGCCTACCCTCCACCTGCTGCTCCAGGGTCCTCCTTCCCAAGTACAGATATGAAGGTGCCTGAATCTCTCATACCCTTTGACACACGGCAACACACCCTCCTTTTTTAGGGAGAAGGGAGATAAAACATTCCCTGGCGTTGGGTACCAGAAACAGGCTCTGGCCTCAGGACACATACTTGGCAGCATCACAGTGACCCCATCACAGCTCTGTCCACAAACTCAGCCTGCCTGAGCGGGCCGGGTCACATTTCTGTAGCACCCCGGCCTCACTGACTCCATGTGGCACGTGGCTTTCACTTACAAGCCTCCTCCTGAGTGTCACAGCAACCCAATGAGATAAGGCACAGCAGGAACTGAGAGCAACCCCTATTGCCAAGATGAAGAGCTGGGCCAAGGGATGGGCAGTGATCTGCCTAGGGCCGCATGGTAAGTCATGGCAGTTCCAGAACCTGACCCCAAGTGCCCTGGGCCGGTGGGTTTTTGCCAAAGCAACCTCCTCCCAATGGCTGTCCTCTTCCATGAAGGCAAATCTCCTAACTTGCCTCTCAAATACTAGGCCCTCTGGCCCTGTGTGGAGGCAGCAAACGATCTGGGACCAGCCTATGTGGTTGCCTCCTCTGGCTCCAGGAGGCCAGGCTGGCCCAGGGACACCTCCCTCTCAACTACCCCAACCAGGCCTGCTCAGTACCACCACACCCCACCTCACGGAGTCCCCTCCAAGGCAGGTACATTGCTGAAAAACAGCTCAACTCATACCAGGCCACAGACATACGACATATGTGGTCCACAAGACACAGCTCCCTGTCATGCACAGACAGACCCATGTCAAACACAGAAACAATCAGACACAAAGAGGGACATATCAGACAGACAACCAGACACATGAAGTCCTATGATGCCAATGTCTGCTGTCAAACAGGAACACAGATAGGTAGTCACACAGATAGGAAAACTGAAACCTCAAAGTATAGAGCCACAGTCTTCGCCACACCTACAACTACATGATCACACCCACCCCAATGCTACATAGTCAGGGACAGTGCACTCGCACGCTCATATACAGGTACCCTGGAACACCTGTACCCTCACAACCACCCAATTACAGCCTGACTCCTTAGGGCAGCACCCCCACACCTTCACATCCATGCATTTATTCAGGGGCGCACCCAGCACCAGATCACCCCCAAACCAGATACAAGGATCCCTGAGATACATGCACAGTCAAGGCCATGCTTACTCCCGCCTCCTTCCTTCCCTCCCTCCTAGGGCTGGTCCAAGAATGGAACAAAAGCCCAGCGTCCCTCCTCCCCTTCCCCCCCCTTCTCCCCTCCCCCCTGGCGTCCAGCCCCTTTGTCCTCCTGCAGCTGAGTCGGAGCAGGAGTCCAGGCAGAGCGGCAAGGACACTGGAGCCCGGACTGCCAAGGGTGCAGCAGGAGGACAGACGGGAGTGGTCAGTACGAGAGCAGTAGCTGCAGAGCACCTGGGTGAGGGCATGGCCAGGTAAGTGCCAGGAACATCCAGGGACTTAGCCCCTCAACCAGAAGGGCTGTGTGGTGTCTACAAGTCTGTGTGTTTGTGTGAGTGGCTATGGGTGTGCACAAGAAACAGGGTGGCATGTCAACTTCTAGGAGCTGGATCCTTTAGTCTGCATTAGGACACTTGGCTGGAGGTACCTAGATTCTTAGCTGGGACAGGAGAATGTTCAACCGAGCCCTGCCTGGGAATCCCTACCTTCCACGTTGCAACTGGGTCCTCCGGCCCCCAGCCCGGGAACCTACAGGGTGGAAACAGAGTCTGATGTCCCAGTGTGACCACAGTGCCTGTCACAGTAGACAGCAGTAGAAAGAATGAAAAAGTAGTGGTGCAATTCCCGAGAAGGGACTCCTCTCCACCCAGGCAGCCCCTTGTGCTGCAGAAAGCAAGCCCCTTCATACCCAGAAGAGACCTGCCCTCCTGGATCTCAGCTCAGAGGGTGGCTACTTTCTTAGCAAGCAGCCAGCAGAGAATGGAATGGGGGCAGCATTTTCCAATGACCTCTCACTTCCCTCTGCTGCTCCTGGGCTGCTCCTTAGGACGTGCCCTCACCCTGGCAAGCGGCTAAGCATGCAGAGTATGGAGCCAGGTGGGTTCAGAGCCCAGCCCCTCTACTTGGGCACAGTTAGCTTCCTGGGACGCTGCCCACCAGGGAGGTCATTTCTGTGGCCTGAGATGAGGATCCACTACCCAGGATGACCGAAGCATGAGCAGTGAAAGCCAGACTAACACTGGGCAAGATCTGACCTCTGGGCAAAGCAGTCTCAGAGGAGGCAGAGTACATGGGACCAGGAGCATGGAGGGAGAGGCAAGAGGTTGAGGACAGACTCCTGCTCCCCTAAAGTAAGTTGCCACATAAAGAAGTGAGCTCCCTGTCACTGGAGGTGTGCAAGCAGACACTGCATGTTCATAATGACTGAGTCACAACCAGCCCAGTACCGACCCTCAGTCTATAGAGTGCTTTCACAAACACCCCTCCTCTGACACTCAGGAACCTCTGAAGGGCAGGTTTCCTGAGTGCTAGTTTCCTTACAACAAACTTAAAGGAGGGCAGGACATCTAAAGAAATGCTCAGGGTTGTGAGGATCAAAGGAAATTATGCACATAAAATCTGCTAGCACACCTGGTGTGCTCCCTTCCTCTTGAGTAAAAACATGTAAAGAAACATTAGCTGAGTCTATACTACGTACCTAGCTAGCACTTTTTTTTTTAAGATTTTATTTATTTTTCCATGAGAGAGAGAGAGGCAGAAACACAAACAGAGGAAGAAGCAGGCTTGCTGAGGGGAGCCTGATGTGGGACTCGATCCCAGGACCCCGGGATCATGACCTGAGCTGAAGGCAGATGCTCAACCACTGAGCCATCCAGGTGCCCCTACCTAGCAGTTTTCATATACCACTTAATAATCACAACACTGCAACAATCCTGTAAGGTAGGCATTAAGATCCCACTTCAGGGGAGGAAACTGAAGGGAAGTGATTTGCACAGCTCACTTAGTGAGACAGTGACAGAGGCAGGCCTAGAACCGCATCAGTCCTCAGAGCCAGCTCTATTCCCCCACAGTGCTTCCACGAGAACACTGACAGAACTGCACATTTTTGCCTTTATGCCTTTGGCTATGCTGTTCCCGGGCAGCAGAATTAACTTCCCTCTCCACCTGGGCTCTGGGCTCTAGCCTCCTGCCCTCCTACCCTTTGGGCCTTAGCAAAGATTGTTCTCTAAATGGAGACATCACCCCTGAACAAGTCCCTTCCTCTTGCCTGGCTAATTCCCCCTCTGCTTCTCACTGTGAAGATCTCTCCTCAGGGACACCTCCCCTGACTCCCCTCCAACTGTGTTTAGTGCCCCTTCTATGGTGGCCACGCCCCCCACCATGGGACCCCCAACAAGCTGTGAGATCCAGGAGGGCAGGTCTATGCCTGTGTTGCTCACTGCCTGGCACAGAAAAGGCTCTAAATACATGCTAGCTTAATACATTCACGCAACCTTAAACAGATATTAATTGAGCACCTACTGGGCAGCCCCCGTAGCTCAGCCGTTTAGCGCCGCCTGCAGCAGGGCGTAATCCTGGAGGCCCCGGGATCGAGTCCCACATCAGGCTTCCTGCACGAGAGCTTGCTTCTCCCTCTGCCTGTGTCTTTGCCTCTCTCCCTCCCTCCCTCTCTCTCTCTCTCAAGAATAAATAAATAAATAAATAAATAAATAAATAAATAAATAAATAAATCTTTTTTTTTTTTTTAAAGTTGAGCACCTACTGTGGGAGAAGCAGCTGTTAAACAGAATCATCAGGGGGCACCTGGGTGGCTTGATCATTAAGCATCTGACTTCAGCTTGGGTCATGATCTCGGGGTCCTGGGATGGAGCCTGGCTTCGGCTCCACGCTCAGCAGGGAGGGAGTCTGCTTTTCCTTCTCCCTCTGTCCCCCCCTCTCCTGCACATGCACACACACTCTCTCAAATAAATAAAGTATCAATTAATCATCAGGATTTGGTCAGTGGGCTGACCAGCACCTACAGGACATCAGGAGACAAGATGGTGTGGCAAGAGGGAGCCCAGTTATACCTCCCCACACCACTCTGGGTATTTCTAGGGTAGCCTGAATCCCTTCGATAGCTCCTGTCAGGAAGGGGGGCCTTCCTATAGATATTTCGTGCAGGCTCCAGATCCTGGGGAGAGATAAAGGCTCCCCGCCACTGGCAGCCACAGGCCTTGCTTTATCCCTTGAGAGAGGCCCTGTAAATCGTTTCCTCATCAGACTATCCTCAAATTACCCCCATTTGAGAGCCTGCCATCTGTCTTCCGCTGATATCGATAAGGAAAATTTTTAGGAGTTTAAAGAACAGAACGAGCAATATGGCTGAAGAGGGTAAGGTGGTGGCAGCTAAGGCAGGGCCTAGCCCCTCAGGAAGGCAGGCCCCAGGGCACTGAGGCCATTGGGATTCTGGATGATTCTGGATGGAGGGACGCAAGGGAGAGCAGCACACGCGTTTATTCACGCATGCCCGCCTGAGTGAACGGGGAACGACCAACGGAGCGGACGGATGAGGGCCCTCCTGCCCCCTCGCGCGCCCCAACCAGGTGGGTTTCCGACGCTGTCTGTGTCCTTTACCTGACAGGATGCTGGAGGGCCCAGCGCCGGAGGAGTTGGAGGCGGGCTCCCCGGCGCCGTGCGCGGCGTCCTGCCACGCGCAGCGCGTCCTGCAGACCCTGAACGCGTACCGGCGGAGCGGCACCCTCACCGACGTGGTGCTGCGCGCCGGCGGCCGCGACTTCCCCTGCCACCGCGCGGCGCTCAGCGCCGGCAGCGCCTACTTCCGCAGCCTGTTCGCGGCCGGGCGCCCGGAGCACGGCCTGGCCGTGGTGCCCGTGGCGCCCGTGGCCTCGGAGGCGGCGCCCGGCGCGGCGGCGGCGGCGCTGGCCGTGGTGCTCGACTACGTGTACGGCGCCGGCGTGCGCCTGCGCGCCGAGGACGAGGCGGCGGCCGTGCTGGCGCTGGCCGAGCGGCTGGGCGTGGCGGGCCTGCGCGAGGCCTGCGCCCGCTTCCTCGAGGGCCGCCTGCGCGCGGCCAACAGCCTGGCGCTGCGCCGCGTGGCCGCCGCCTTCTCGCTCGCCTCGCTGGCCGAGCGCTGCGGCCGCGTGCTGCGCCAGGCCTTCGCCGAGGTGGCGCGCCACGCCGACTTCCTGGAGCTGGCGCCCGACGAGGTGGCGGCGCTGCTGGCCGACCCGGCGCTGGGCGTGGCGCGCGAGGAGGCGGTGTTCGAGGCGGCCATGCGCTGGGTGCGCCACGACGCGCCGGCCCGCCGCGGGCAGCTGAGGCGCCTGCTGGAGCACGTGCGCCTGCCCCTGCTGGCGCCCGCCTACTTCCTGGAGAAGGTGGAGGCCGACGAGCTGCTGCAGGCCAGCCGCGAGTGCCGCCCGCTGCTGCTGCAGGCCCGCGCCTGCTTCATCCTGGGCCGCGAGGCGGGCGCGCTGCAGGCCCGGCCGCGGAGGTACGGCCCCCAGCCCCCAGCCCCCAGCCCCCGCCCGCCCTGTGGCATCCTTTGTTTTAATTTGAGAAAGTTTTTTTTAATTCATGAGAGAGAGAGAGAGAGGCAGAGACACAGGCAGAGGGAGAAGCAGGCTCCATGCACCGGGAGCCCGACGTGGGACTCGATCCCGGGTCTCCAGGATCAGACCCTGGGCTGAAGGCGGCGCTAAACCGCTGCGCCACCCGGGCTGCCCCCTATGGCATCCTTTAATGCAGTCACTTAATCGGGCCTCTGAAATGAGATTCGGTCGTTCATTCAGGACACATTTCACGGGCTCGGTGTGGAGAATTCTCTTTTTCATTATTATTATTTTATTTTTTTATTTCTTTTAAAGATTTTAGTTTTTTTTTAATTTTTATTTATTTATGATAGTCATACAGAGAGAGAGAGAGAGAGAGAGAGGCAGAGACACAGGCAGGGGGAGAAGCAGGCTCCATGCAGGAAGCCCGATGTGGGACTCGATCCCGGTCTCCAGGATCACACCCCGGGTTGCAGGCGGCGCTAAACCGCTGCGCCACCAGGGCTACCTTTTTTTTTTTTTTTTTTAAGATTTATTTAGTATCCTAAGTTATTTGTTTTTTTTTTAATAAATTAATTTTTATTGGTGTTCAATTTACCAACATACAGAATAACACCCAGTGCTCATCCCGTCAAGTGTCCCCCTCAGTGCCCGTCACCCATTCACCCCCACCCCCGCCCTCCTCCCCTTCCACCACCCCTAGTTCGTTTCCCAGAGTTAGGAGTCTTTATGTTCTGTGTCCCTTTCTGATATTTCGGTGTGGAGAATTCTGTCCTTAAAGAATTGACAGTCCAGTGGGGGAGGAGGCAGGGATCTCACAGCTTGTACACATTCTTTCTCCTGCCCACCCATCCGTAATTCGGAGTACTGCTTCTGTGCAGGCTTTGTGTTGGGTGCCCTGACGGGAGTAACTGGAAACAGCTTTTACCCTCCGAAAGCTCAGTTCTGTAAGGGACATAAATAGGGCCTGGAAAAAAAAAAAATGAAAGAGGGCTACTCTCCCACCCCTGGAATGCCAGACCAAGAGACTTAGGGTGGAGTAGCCCAAGACTGTCTGTCACCCTCCCAGGGACAGAAGACAGGATGCCTCTGTCTTACTACACTGTGTCTCCAGCACTAAGCCCAGGACCAGGTACAAAGAAACTGCTCAGTATTTGTCAAAGGAATTAGATAGGAGGCCAGGTGGCTTGGTTTGGAAATTCTGGTGGGGTCAGAGCCTGAGGGATTGGCTAGCGGGAGGGGAGAATGTTTTGCTGAAAGGGTGTGTATCCTGGTCTAATGGAGTCAGTGATTAGGGAATGGGTTTAGGAAATGGTTACAGTAGGAGGGAGGCAGCAGAATTAACAGTTAGGGATGAAGGGAAGAAAAAGGTAAACAGAATGGGTTAGTGGCAGCCAAACTAGGTTTGAATTCCAGCTGTCTCATTTAATTGGCTCCATGACTTCTGGCAAGCCAAAGTCAGTGAGCCTCAGTTTCCTTCTCTGCAAAAGCAATAGTAATCCTTGCCTAATAAAACTATCATAAGGATTAAACGAGGTGACTTTCCTAGGTAAGGGCTCTGTAAAGATCCTTTTCCTGTAATTTAGAGGTCAGTAGATTGGGGTTAAGAATTGGTGACTCTCTTCCCATCAATACTAGGAAAGGAGGTTGAAAGTGGCAGAGTCCAGCATGAGATTGGGCGGCAGAGAGTGTGAAAGAGCATGAGGGCATAGAAGGGCAGCATGATGGTACAGTGTGGTCAACAAGAGGATGTGAGATGCCAAAACCTGGGTGTGGGTCAACGGGCATTGGGCTTATTCCCACGCCAGATTCATGGAGCTAGCTGAAGTGATCGTGGTCATCGGTGGTTGCGACCGCAAGGGGCTCCTGAAGCTGCCCTTCACTGATGCCTACCATCCAGAGAGCCAGCGCTGGACCCCACTGCCCAGCCTTCCAGGCTACACACGCTCAGAGTTTGCTGCCTGTGCTCTCCGCAATGATGTCTATGTCTCGGGTGAGGAGAGGGCGCAGTGGGGATTGGTTCTTTGCCTCTCTCATGCCACTCCCTTTGTTTTTCTCTCCAACCATGAGATAGGGGTGAGATTTTCCCCCAATAACCTACAGTTACTGGCTGAAGTGGTACATAGTCCTGCAGGGCCAGTCACTGGAATGACTCCGACCTTCATCAGCAATGTCCACTTCAATTTGTATTATTATTAACCACTTCTTTTTGTTTAGCCAATTCTCTGCAGAACATTATGCTACACAGCTTTCGTTAGTTACTCAATTTCCCTTACAACTCCATTTTACAGGGAGGTTAAGAATTTTCCCATTATCTCAAAAATGGTAAAGCTAGAAGGAACACAAATTGGTGTTATACCAATGGATTGTGCCCTCTCTGAGATTCAGGCCCCAGAGAGAATAAAATAGTCCCTACTCCCCTGGAGAGGGGGGAGACAGAGAGACTTCACTTTGTCACCAGACTTTTCAGCTGGACCTTGAAAATCTGGAGGGAACAGCATAGCCAAAGGCATAAAGGCAAAAATGTGCAGAAAGGAACCCCAGGCACTTGGTCTCCAGAGTGCTGATTGTGTCTGGGAGAGGAGGGGAAGTATTGTAGATGAGGCAGGAAAGGGAGTTGAGTCAGATCAGGGAGGCTTTGACTCCAGGCTTAGGTAGACTGCACTCGTAGGGAGGGGTATGGGTGTCTGAGAAAGACAACAGAAGAATGAGCCAGAAAGATCTCAAGGTCCATCCAGGCCACACTTTATTACTGGACATCTTATCCAAGGCTACTGATGGCCTGTGAGCAGCAGGTAGGGCCTCTGCTGGGAATGCACAAAGGCAAGGTCTATAAAACAAAGCTGGAGCTTGACTCATGGGCTCAGGCTGAGGGATGTAGTCAGGGTTGTCCCTGGAAAGGCTGCTCCTGAGAGAGGAGTCCCTGGTCAGTAACCAAGAGGAATGGGGAAGAAGAGTCTGCAGTTTGCATTCCAAGGCCTAGCCCCATAAGGCATACTGATCCTCAGCTTGGGAGACTAGAAGTTCTGGCTCTGGTCATTGATCTAGAGTGAAAGGCCATGTGGCTTTCAGCAGGGCATTCCTGGTCTCTAAGCCACATCTCAGTTTCCTGTCTGTAAAGTGGGTACAATAATCCTAACACCATCTATCTAAAAAAAAAAAAAAAAAATCCTAACACCTCCTGGAGGGATGAGAACAGACATGACATAATGAAGGTAAGGGCAGAAATAAGGCAGGGTTACTGAGTCACTCTCTACCTCTTCCCACCCCAGCTCAGGTGGCTGTGCTTTCCGCTCTGTCCCCAGCACATCCCTGATGCTTGTCTTGGGCACACTTTGCACTCTTATCTCCAGTTGAGTTCTAAGTACCCCCCTCTTTTACTCCCTGAGTACAGATCCTGGCATACCACCATAAGGCACCCACTGAAGATCAGCTCCTTCTCCCCAAATCTCTCAGGCCTCTCCCTTCAAAACTCCCTGCCCTTTTGTCCTCACACCTTCCCATCATTCATTCAAAGCACATGTCCAGGTCACTGGGTAGGAGTCTCACATCCATAAGGGTTGGGGTTGGGGGAGTCCTTTCCATCATCTACCCTTAACTCTTCTTTGGATCTGGAGGCCCTTGTTTCAAGGTCTTTAGTGGTGCTGTTGATCCCAAGAGGGCCTGGGGTCAACAGCTGCTTCTCTTTCCTTAGGAGGCCATATCAACAGCCGTGATGTGTGGATGTTTAGTACTCCTCTGCACACCTGGATCAAGGTGGCCTCACTGCTCAAGGGCAGGTGGAGGCACAAGATGGCAGTCATGCAGGGGCAGGTAGGGACACACAAAAGCTGCTGCCCTGTGGCCCAAGGTACAGACAGTGGAATTCCGGGGGGAAGGTCCTATAGACAGTCTCTTTGAAATCTGTTTTAAGGAATCTTAAACACCAAAAAGGAAAGATACTTGCCCGAAGTTACATAATAATGCTAATGGTAATACAAACTAATGGCTATAGTTGTACAGCCTAGTGGTCACGGGTCAAAAGCATGGGTTCTGGGGCCAGACTAGGTTTGAATTTTGAGTCTGCCAATTAAAACTAATTATCTTTGTAAGCTACATCCCAATTTCAGAAAAGAAAAAGGAATGTCTTAGGATTACTGAAGTAAGGTGGGTAAACCCTCAATAAATTACCAGATGTTATGATTAAGCATCAGCTTGGTGCTAGGTATTTGACAGGGCTAATACACGTCCCAGAGACCGGTATCATTAACCCCAGTTGTTAGAGGAAAGCTGTTGAGGGAGGCCGGCCAGGTGCTGGCAGTGTTGGGATGCGCCCCGTGCGGGTCTGGAGGTAGTCTCTCCGCACAGAGCGGAGGCTTCCACCTGCATCCCACCCTTGCTTGTCCTCACCTGCAGCTGTTCGCGGTGGGCGGCTTTGATGGCCTTCGGCGCCTGCGCAGCGTAGAACGCTACGACCCCTTCTCCAACACCTGGGTGGCCGCTGCGCCGCTCCCCGAGGCCGTGAGCTCGGCAGCGGTGGTGTCCTGCGCGGGCCGGATCTACGTGATTGGGGGCGCTGGGCAGGACGGTGTCAGCACAAACAAGGTGGGCACGGATTGGGGACTGGAGGCCTGCTGGTGCCAAGAGCAGAGCTGGTAAACTTCAATCCTCATCCATTTTCTCACTCTCCACAGCCTTGAAGAGTGACTGCGTTTCAGCAAGGAAGGGAGGATGACCTCAAGGTCCCACAGCGGGTCTGAACCCGAATATTTGAGCTGGTGCCATATGGCTCTCATAGATTTTAAAAATTAACTGAGGGCAAGGGTGGAATAACTAAAAACGTTTTTCCTCCAAAGAAGTAAAAAAACACCCACACATTATTGAAAATTTAGAAAACAGAAATAACAACAAAAAAAATTACCCATGATTCCACCCCCAAAGGATAATTACTATTAATATTTTGGTGCATTGCTTTCCAGGCTTCTTTTGAATCTACTTTTGTGTTTCTGTTTTAGCTTTGTGTTTTTATTGTTAGTAAAATTCTGCATTCTTCTTTTTATTCTCATTTAAATGTAAGCACTTTCCCCATGCTTAGAAACTCCTCACAGCTATCATTTCAATGTGGAATAGTCCACAGGGTGGGTGACCCATTGTCTATCCACCAAAATTTCTGTTGCTGGACATTTTTGGCTTTCTGTGAATAAAAATTAATCATCTTCATAGCAGCTTCCTCCCTCCCCTGCTGGCCTCACAAGTCTGTAGTCCAGGATCTGAATCTTTCCAGAACTAGGATCCCTCACCCCTCCATATTCCGACTCATCCACCCCTACACACACCTTCCTGGGGCTGGCTGGGAGAACTGCCCTTTAGTACCTTCTTGTGCAGCACTGGTTCCAGGAGTCTCCAAGGCAACAGTCGAGGAAAGAGTCAAAGTGAACATGCAAGTAGTATAAGCTCTCAGAAACTCTGGAAGGTGTTATAAACAGTGGTGGGCCTCAGAAGCCTGTAGACAGCTGTACGAACGGGGGCTGCAAGGCCCCCAGCTGATATCTTGTCATGAGCTCAGAGCACCGCAGGGCAGTGGGGGGGAGTGACTATGTATGCAACAAGAAATGCATCTCTTTGGGGTACCTGCTCTCTAAGAACCTTCTATAGCACTAATGCAGATGGTACTTCTATTTTCTGAGATGCAGATCTTTCCTGGACCTTGAAATATGAGGCTTTGGACAAAGGGAGTCCAGGGCTGGGGCTACAGCGTAGAGCCAGACTGAGCACACTTGAGGGCAGGGATGGTGGGTGTCCTCTACCACCCCCCCACCCCCAGATGCTAGCTGAGGCCTGGTGGACACAGGCAAATATTGTGTCAAATGAGTCCCCCTGCTGGAGAGATGGGAGGATGTGGGCAGCAGGGCAGTTGGAGGGTGAAGCTTCACCACAGTCCCTTCTCCTGCCCCTCAGGTGCAGTGCTTTGACCCCAAGGAGGACCAGTGGAGTCTGCGATCACCAGCACCTTTCTCACAGCGGTGTCTCGAGGCTGTCTCCCTTGAGGGCATCATCTATGTGGTGGGGGGCCTTATGAGCAAAATCTTCACCTATGACCCTGGCACAGATGTCTGGGGGGAGGCAGCTGTCCTCCCCAGCCCTGTGGTAAGTAGAGGCTCCAGGGCACAGCCTTAGTACTGGTTCCATTTGGGAGAGCAAAGTCCCATGTCTAAGGATATGGATCTCAGAGGTTCTGAGTCTTATCTCTGACTCCGTGCTCGGCAATTATACATCATTCCTTAGCTTTGTTCTATGATAATCAGCCTTGTTTTCCACAGATGAGACCAGCCTTAGACTGAGGCTTCACCCAAGGCCACCAATTAAACCAAAGCATGGAAGCCCAGTCCCAAGTCTTTAGCTTTGGATGAGTCTTGATCTAAATGACCCTGCAGTCTCTTCTGTCCTGAAGGCCACAACCAGTAGTCTGTTGTGGGGAGTCCAGGATGGAGAAGGGACTTGGTTAAGTTCCCCTGTCCTAGTAAATCAGACCAGAGAAGTCCAGGCCCTGGATGTTCTGGCCCCCACTTGTCCCCATCCCTGAAACTCCAAAGAGACTACATAGATTGGTGGTCCCTGCCAGTTCTGACCTTCAGTGATTCTAAAAGCTTGAGATTTTTGGCTTCTCTGAGTCTGAGATCTCAGCTCAGCAGTGGTAGTCATGGTGATTGTTGTCACTGGAGTGCTTACTATCTTCTTGGCACTATGAAATGCTTAACCCCATTAACTGTTAAGGTAACCTTAGGAAGAAGGTACTATTATTATTCTTACTTTGCAGGTGAGGAAACTGAGGCCCAGAGAGCTTAAGTGACTTGCCTAAGGCCATTTAGTAAGGGTCAAGCCAGAGCTTGAACTCAGATTCATTTAGTTCCTGTGTTTCTGTCATCCAGACTGCCTGCTCATTTTGTGTGTGTCCAGGTTTTATTGTCTGGCCTGACCAGCTAGGGACACAGGGAGCCCCAGAGCTGATTAGCTTTCTGTCTTCCCAGGAGAGCTGCGGCGTGACTGTGTGTGACGGGAAGATCCACATCCTTGGTGGGCGGGATGATCTTGGGGAGAGCACTGACAAGGTCTTCACCTTTGACCCCAGCAATGGGCAGGTGGAGGCCCAGCCGTCCCTACAGCGCTGCACCAGCTCCCATGGCTGCATCACCATCATTCAGACCCTGGGCAGGTGACTCAGACTTGAACAGCCTGAGCCAGGAAGCAGAGAAAGGAGGGGGAATTCAGGCTCACCACTGCCCTCCTCATGGCACCTCCATGTATATAGCCCCTTAACTTATTGCCCCCCTTTCTTGTAGAAATAAAACCTCCTTCAAAGGTTGGATCTGTGTTCCAGCTCAAGCCTGCTTTGTCTGGAGAAGTTATGCCCAATATCTGCTCCCTGCTTTGACTCTTTACAAAGCACCTTCATATGTTACCTTGTTTACCTTCCTAATGGCAGTATGGACATGTTTTTAAAATTATGAAATATTTCATGCATAAAAAGTGTATATATATATTTTTGTACAGTTTTACAATAAAATAAATATCTGTTTCCACCATCTAGCTTAAGAAATAGATCATTACAAATGCTTTTGTAGGAACCTCCATTCCCAAACCCGTTCCTTCCCACATTCCTCCCAGAGGTAATCACTGTCCTTAAATTTGAGATGACTGGCAGTTTTTTAACTTTTAACGAGCTAGTTATTAATGTTTGTATTTTACAGAAAAGGAACTGCCTTAAAAGATGAGACTTGGGCAGCCCGGGTGGCTCAGCGGTTTAGCGCTGCCTTCAGCCCAGGGCCTGATCCTGGAGACTCAGGATCAAGTCCCATGTCATGCATGGGGCCTGCTTCTCCCTCTGCCTGTGTCTCTGCCTGCCTCTCTCTCTCATGAATAAATAAATAAAATCTTTAAAAAAAAAAAAAGATGAGATTTGCCCAAGACCACATACCTAGTAAGTGGCAGCGTCCATGACTCTTAAGATTTCATGAAGCTTTACAATCTGTGAAGCACTTCTGGTCAGGTTGTTTCTCTCATTCTAAACCACCCTTTCCAATTCAGGCACTTAGCAATGACAGATAAAATTAAAAGCCAAACAACTAAAAAGTCCAGAGGCACAGGAAACTGGAATTATAAAACCATGAGAAAGGGAGAAACTCCATCCAGCTCTGGGGTTCAGACCCTGGGATAAAGCTTTAAAAAGGGATTACAAACCAGGCTCACTGCTAGAAGCCAGGGCCGAGGTAGGGCTCCCTGACTCTGAAAGCAGCAGAAACAAAATAGGACCAGAACAGTTGTGGAACCCTGAGTAGCCCTGAGGCCAAGGCTCACAGCAAACTGCAGGCCCAGGGTGGCAGGCACCAGAGCCCCAGGCCTGAGATCTCAGACAGCCTGGGTCTGCACCTGGACCTGTGAGATCCCCCATATCAACAAGGGGCACAAACCATTTCATGCCATCAAAAGCACCTGGGGGGCAAGGCTCTACAGCAGCAACATAAAACTGCTAGAGGAGGAGGAATGAGCCCAGAGGAGAGAGGGGACAAAAGATATCATGTATTCTGTGAGGGAGACCCAGTAGGTTCAGGTCCTATGCCTAGGTTTCTGAGGCCCAGAGGGGCTGGCCAGGTCCCATCTGGGGCTCCCCATTATGTGCACTCAGATTGCTTTTTGAAGAGCTATCATCTGCTCCTTGCATCCCCTCCGGCACAGGGCCAACCCCATGCCCCTCCCTGCCTTCCAAAGCCCCAGAGCCCTATCTGTGGGGTCTCTCCAGCTGGGGCTGGCCCATCACAGCCCAGCACAAAGGCTTGGGCCCCAGCTGAGCTGCTATTCTCTGATTATCTCAGATTAGGAAGTCTGTGACCATCTGGACACAGATGATAATGGTAAAGGGGAGGGGAGGGGAGTGGAGTGGAGGCCCAGCCCTTCAGAGCCTGCCTATCCCCACCCCACAGATAATACCCAGGACAAAGCAAAAAAAAAAAAAAAAAAAAAAAGTGCCATATTGCTTGCCCACCCAAACAAAAGCCTGAGTGGAAAAAGTAGAATATTCAGGGAGAGATCTTGAGAACATGGGCACCTCACCTGGGCAGGGCATTTCCTGTGTGCCAAGCAAACCACCCCATTTCTCCAAAAATGACCATTCATGCCTCTAATGCTCTCTTGTCCAAGTGCCAGTGCCCTTTCCTGCTCTCTCTGCCTGGGCAAACCTGACACCCTCTACTCATTCCAGAGCTGTCTTGTCTTTCAAGTCCCTTCCTTATCTGCCCCTCTTTTATCACCAGGCATATGGCCAGGCCTTCATATGCGACATCCCTAGTCTTCCCTGACACATACCCATAGAATGCTTCTTGAGTCAGGAAAGGTGTCAGCCTTATTTATGTATCCCCCATGTCCAGAACAAGAGCCCTCCCCCACTCAATATGCTGTATCAAAGTTTCCTGGATTCTATTTCACAATACCTATTGCCCCACTTACCAATGAGGAACTAGAGATCCAGAGATGTGATTTGTCTACTAATCACATCACATTTGTCTACTAATGTCACTGGTCTGGTGAGTGGTGGCAGAGCCAAGATTCCACCCTGGGTCAAGCTATCTCAAAACCCTGCTCTCTCCATGCAGCCTCACTAGGCTCTGCTAATCTGAGAAAATAGTGTTGAGCATAGCACATGAGTTGTTTAGAAGATACAGTAGTCCTCCCTTATCTGTGGGGGATAAATCCCAGCAGATGCCTGAAACCACAGATGGTACCAAACCTTGTATACACTGTGATTTCTTACACATACATACATAGGATAAAGTTTGTGGGCAGTCTGGGTGGCTCAGCGGTTTAGCGCTGCCTTCAGCCCAGGGCCTGATCCTGGAGACCTGGGATCGAGTCTTGTGTCGGGCTCCCGGCATGGAGCCTGCTTCTCCCTCTACCTGTGTCTCTGCCTCTCTCTGTGTGTGCCTCTCATGAATAAATAAATTTTTAAAAAGTTAAAAAAAAATAAAGTTTGTAAGTTAGGCACAATAGATTAAAAGTAATTAATAATTAAAATATATTATAATAAGAGTTATGTGAATGGGGGCTCTCAAAATACCTTTTTGTACTAGCCCTTTTTCTTGTGATGATGCAAGATAATACAATGCCTACAGGATGAGATGAAGTGAGGTGAATGACTTAGACATCATGATGCATCCTTAGGCTACTACTGACCTAAGTCAAGACTATCGTCTGCTTCCAGAATGCAATTAATCTCAGGTAACTGAAATCACAGTAGGTGAAACCACAGATAATGGGGACAGGGGTGGGGGGAGCTGCTACTACTACTATATATCATTTCCACCAAGAGAAGCCCCGGCCTGATGGGATTTTGTCCCTGCCATTAGGGGCTTCTAGTTGGATGAAGGGGAGATGCGATTCATCTCCCTGGTGAGGCTCACAGGGACACAATACAAAGCAAAAGGTCACACACCTACATGTCCTAATTTCCCAAGACCGTGAGTTCAACCAAGACCATATATGGAGGGCCTCTCTGGCTCCCAGCCCACTGCTCTTCACCTCCCCTTGGGCTGCCTGCTGAATGAGAGGGACTGTCACTATCCAACAGGAAGCCAGACCACAAGTTCTGAGTACATGATCCCTTAGCCACTTGGGTTTGCCATACTCTCCCCAGCTGAGAACATACTTAACTCTTCATATGCCATCAGAAGCCACTGAACCCAAATTTAGTTTTTGAGTTTCGTTTTTGAGAAGTCATATTTGTAAGACTTGATATTTTATGACTTAATGGGCTTCTAAAAAACAAGTTTACTTACCTTTTTAAAAAGACAATAAAATTCATTGTAACTTGCAATCACCATATGGATTCATTAGACTCTTTAATAAACTTAAAATACATTATGAGATTGTGAAGAATTTATTTTCCTACATTTGGAAAAACTTTGCTATTTGATCATCCTAAATATCACTTCATGTTACTCAGCAATTATTCCCAAACAAGACTGCAATGGTAAAATGAAAAGATAGTATTGCCCAAAAGATAGAATAGTGAATACATCATCACTATCACATCATTCCTCAGTTTCCATTAAGTATTCCCTAAAGTACTGTATATCATCTTTCAAGATAGATAGAAGTCTAGAGACGTCGGCTGAGAATTCAGGATTTTTCATTTTATACCCATGAAAAAAGAGAAGAAAATGGAGAGATCTTTCACACCTAATACAAACAAATCAGAAAATGAACGCAGAGACACACAGTAGCACTCTAGCCTCTGAGGATAGGGAAATTGGTCACAGAAGCAAAATCTTCCCTAGATGAATTTTCTTAAAGTCAAGAATTGGTGAGTGAAAGAAAATGTGGCATTTTAAGTCATTCAACAAAAAGGATTCCATTTGCACAATATTTTTTTTAAATTTTTATTTATTTATGATAGTCACAGAGAGAGAGAGGCAGAGCCACAGGCAGAGGGAAAAGCAGGCTCCATGCACCGGGAGCCCGATGTGGGATTCGATCCGGAGTCTCCAGGATCGCGCCCTGGGCCAAAGGCAGGCGCCAAACCGCTGCGCCACCCAGGGATCCCGCACAATATTTTTTTGACAAAGACCTCTACCATCCCGTTTTGTACAATATTTTTTTATTGAGATGCCTATACCCCCAGATTTACTTGGTATACTTTGTTACAGTTTGTAAGTGAAGACATGCTGAGACAGTTGTGTACTAAGGTGAATGTAGGAAAATAGATGCTGTATTTTAAAAATTAGATTGGTTATTCAAATTGATCTTTAAAAATCCAAAATCAAAAATATTTTAAAATTATGGAGCAGAGACGCCTGGGTGCCTCAGTGGTTGAGCGTCTGCCTTCGGCTCAGGACATGATCCTGGAGTCCCAGGATCAAGTCCCACATCGGGCTTCCAGCAAGGAGCCTGCTTCTCCTGCCTGTGTCTCTCATGAATAAAATCTTTAAGAAAATAAAAAATAAAATTATGGAGGAAAGAATATGACTGTCCTCTCTTCAACATTATGAGCCATCAAAAATTTTTATAGTACTCCATTGTTGGAGCAGCCCCGGTGGCCCAGCACCACCTTCAGCCTGGGGTGTGATCCTGGAGACCTGGGATCGAGTCCCTTGTTGGGCTTCCTGCATGGAGCCTGCTTCTCCCTCTATGTCTCTGCCTCTCTCTCTCATGAATAAATAAAATCTTTAAAAAATAATAATAAAGTGGGATCCCTGGGTGGCGCAGCGGTTTGGCACCTGCCTTTGGCCCAGGGCGCGATCCTGGAGGCCCAGGATCGAATCCCACATCGGGCTCCCGGTGCATGGAGCCTGCTTCTCCCTCTGCCTGTGTCTCTGCCCCCCCCCCCTCTCTCTCTGTGA